GACCGGCTCTCACGTGGTTATTAAGTATGATTTGATTTACGAAAACAATGTGGTTTGTTGCTTGATTTTTGTGGTGCTATAGTGATGGGCTGCCCTTCTGAGTTACTATCTATTGGTATCAAGGGAGGGACATTCTACCAAGGGAGGGACTCTCGTATTCACGACCAATGATTATTATTAACTGGTCGCCCCCCATTTTTTCACAAAAAAAATAGAATTAAGAAGGAATAAAAAGTCAAATGAAAATATTTTTAGTCTGCTTTTAACTAGATTGAAGAGGAAATTAATTGAGATGTGCGTAAGATAGTTCAAACACTCTTGACTATTAAATTAAAAAAAAAAAAAAAATTGGAAGTTGGTTCCCCTATATGGACATATTTGGACTTAAGTCTATCAACGAAACTTATTTGTTATGAAATCCATTTTTTTGTTAATTTTACTAGACTATCTCTTCCTTTTAGAAATGAAATAAAACTAAAATTTAAAAACTCCTATATTTTAGGAGTTTGACTAACATTAAAAAAATTTATCCCTCATATCTATATACTAGTTATTGTATGTGCCTAAAGGTACAGAATAATAAAAATAATAAACAATAAACATATTTTCATATGCAAAATCAAATCATAAACATAGAGAAGAGATAAAGAAATTTAAGTATCGATTTATAGTGGGGCTGAGAGGTGGTGGGCGACGATGGTGGTGGTAGGAGACGATGAAGGTTGTGGTGGATGGAAATGACTGTGGTGGCAGCGATAGTGGTGATGGTGGCAGTGACGATGATGGTAGTGGTGGCGATAGCAGCAGTGGTGATAGTGGGGGCGGTGGCGGTGGTGGAGGCGGTAAGCATGGGGATGCTGGTAACAGTGGCGGTGGCGGTGGTGACAGAGATGGTGGCGGTGGTGACGACGCTGGCGGCGACGATGGTGATGGTGACGGCGACTGCGGTGATGGTGACGGCGGTGGTGGTGGTGGTGACGGCGACGGTGGTGGTGGTTGCGGTGGCGGTGGTGGGGGAATGGTGGTGGTATAATTAGTGGTTGGACAGCTTCAAACACTATTTTTTAAAAAAAATATTTATGAGAAATAATTTTTAAAAGTACTTTTAAAAAGTCACTTCAAACACACCCTTAGGGTCTATTTTTCGTATTAAATTTAGGGTGTTAATATTAACAGTTAGATTAACTTTAAAGTAAAATTTAAAGCGATCTCAACTGCGAATAACAAAAGTCATTTTATTTATCTTTTGAGATTTGAATTGTAAACTACTTTATTATATAGATATTCATAGGTTAGAACTATATCTCTCTCACATATATATATATATATATAATAGTAATATTCAAATACAAAAAAAAAAGTTATCATTTACATACAAAAAATAATACAATTTAAATACAAAAAAACATAATAACATTTAAACATAAGAATAATAATAACATTCAATATTAATATTTTAAAAAAATAACAATAGTAACATGTTTAACAAAAATAATAATATGTTTAACAAAAAAAAATGGAACATTGAACAAAATTGAAAATAAAAATAGTGGCATTCAAACCCATAAATATATTATTATTATTTTTTGGGAGGGGGACTTGAACTCTTGACCTTAGTATCCAATTTTTCAGCATCCAAAAAAGTAATAACATGTTCAATAAAAAATAATAACATGAAAAAAAATAGCAACATGATCAACAAAAAAAGTAAATGTATGTATTCTGGTTATGTTCATGAACCAACAATTATTAGGAATCAAACTAATAACACACTGAGCCCAACAATAATTATAACGTCCTAATTGAGAATTATTAAAGAATGTGTTATGATTTGTGCTCTATTTGTGGGGGACCGAAAATGAGAAGATATGGGGAGGCACTCTGCCTAAAGGAAAGACGGAGAGAGAAAGAGTATCAATTTCAATTTCAATTTAGGAGTAAATTAATGAACTTTTGGTCCAATGATACTCTTTGATTTGTAAAGGTTTTGTCTTTTTGATGTCAAGGGTTCAAGTCCCCCTTCCCCTTCCCCTTCCCTCCCAAAAAAAAGAATTAAGGAATAATAATTTCTAATTTAAGAAATTAATTTAAAGCTATTTTTATGGCTTTTAAGGTTTCTATAATTGAACAAACTGTTAAGGGTATTTTTAAAATTTTAAAAAATAGTGGATTTAAGTATTTATTAGTAAGATAAAAAACGAATTTATTACCAAATAAATTTTCTTGACGGACTCAAGTCATTATAAATCCATTTAAGATGACTCAATCCCAATTTTCACAAATATATATATATATATATATATATATATATATATATATATAACGGCTAGTAAAAGACAGCCCAAGTCCAAATCAATATGGACCATTAGATCAGTGTATTTAATTGAAAAAAAATTAACAGAATCTACTAATTCAAGAGTCTATACTCATTTGAAATGTAATTTGGGATACCTAGTATTATTCGTCTAGAACATGGTAAGGATTGTCCCTAAAACTCAAATGCTTGTATTTTGAGATTGGAATATCAAGGTCATGTTTGGTTTTGTGATTTGGAAACAGTTTTTTGTTCTCAAAATTTCAAAAACACTCAACACATGTTTGTTTAGCATTTGTGTTCTCTAAATTTTGAGAAAAAAAATGAGATTTGAGTCAAAGAAACATAAAACAAGTGTTTTCAAAGTTTTTTTTGAAAATTTTGGAAATAAGGAGAATAATATATATATACACACACACACAAACGTATATGTATATATATTTATATTTAAGGGTGCAAAATAACCTAACGAAGTTTTTGATTTATCAAAAGATTGTAAATAATTCCTATATATATATATATATATATATATATATATATTAAAGTTTGGTTTATTGAATTTTTTTTAATGAAATTGTCAATCTAAAAATATCTTTTTTATATTTTTTTTTATTAATGTTTGAATTACTGTTTAAATATATATTTAGGCTGTCCAAACAGGTTTTACTATTTTTCTATTGTAAAATTATTTTTGAAATCATCTAACCAAACAAGTTTTTTATCTCAAAAAATATCAAAATCACTTTCTTAAAACTCTTCTCAAAAACTATTTTCGGATACTATTTTTTGAAACGTAAACTAAACATGCCCCTAATCTCTCTGTGGGCAGATAATAGAATTGTCACCCGAATTACGCCAATAATAGTATATAACAAATAATAATGCCATTTTTAGCAATTCTTGTTACTAATTTTTATTCACCATGATAATCCTTTTATGATGATTGAGACTCGTTATATCCCACTGTTTACATCAAATTGTTAAGAAAACATCCATAAAATAATTAATTTTTTTTTAACGATTAGGAGTGTCTAGATTAACTTATGTGCACTTTTACTAATTTCGTCCTCATTCCGATCAAAAATAAGTCATCCACTCTGGGATTAGGATATTCATGACGGATAAATTTTTAATGGCCTGTTAAAATATCTGATTTTACAATTCATCACTATTACCACTTTAACTACTCATTAGAGTTAGAGAATCTTCAATGGAGATTCAAACTCTTACCCAAATTTGAATTAAAAAAAAGGGTAATTTGGTATAGACATCTTCAATGGAGAAATTCAAATTTAAAGGAAGGGAATTTTTTTTAAAATGAAAACAAATTCAAATTTAAAAGAGAGTAAATATGGTCATTGGATCTTTAAAGGATTATGAAATTTCACCATTAAAATTTAAGTATAAAGTTGTGTCTCCCTTAATTTGGATTTAAAAATAGGTTTTCTTTCATTTGGTATGAGTATAAGTTTAACATTAAAGAAAGTTTTTAAGAGTTTTTTACCCTCTTTTAAAAAAGAGTACAAAAAAAATAAGAACGGAGATGCACTTATAAAACAATTAATCATCATGTTAATTTTGGTAAGCAAGCGATATTGCGCCACGTATAATATAAGTAGAATCCAGGCCATATTAGGTAAAGGCAAAAATCAAAGTGGAAATTTGAAGGAAAGATTATACAACCTTTGAGGAATACGAGAATTTTTTTTTTTTTTTTGGTATTAAAGAAATGATTGTACGACTCAACTTATGCACACTTTTTCTAATTTTTTATTCGTTATAAGATTTCATCAAATAAAGACTTAGATACAACCTTTTTTTTTCAATAAAAATTATGCACCAAAATTCGTGCATCAAATAATGCGTCATAATCATATTTATTAAAATATTTAGAAAGAGTTAGCACCATCTATAAATTTTTATTCAGTCAAGTTTTATTTTTTTTTAATCAATCAATGAGAATAAAATATTAAACCTTATCATATCAGATATCAGCTATCACATCTTTTATTTAATCCATTTTTCATTCATCAATGGAATCAGTCATTATTATTTTTATTTTTTTTTTTTTTTGTATTCTAAAAATTAAAATATTAATTTTTTTATTATAGGATATCTAAATTTGCATCGATTATTCCCTTAAACTCTAAAATATCTATCAAAACTCGAATTAGTTTGAAGACGGGATAGTTCTCATGATTCCCTTACAAAAGCAACACAAAAATATCTGCCCAGAGGCCTGCAGGACTTAGTACAGTGTGGGACTAAAAGTTTCACAATCTCTCTTTCAGCTTTTGTCCGAAATTTGCGTAGATGTCGGCATATTGATTTTCTTAGTGTAGGGATTAAGAGATCGATTCATATATCTGGCATTTGTCTTTAATTCTATTCGAAGCCATGAATCTAAACGATATAAGCATGTTTCTATTCATTGAGAAGAAGTCATAGAATTTCTCCCTATCCGAATAGAATTAGCCGAAAAAGGTATCTGTTTTTGTGGCAATTAATGCTTTAATTAAATAAACAACGGATCCATTAGACCAGCTAAACAACTTTTATTACAAAAAAAAAGGGGTAATAATGTAATTTGAGGGATAAATTCGTAAAAATGACACCAATTCCATCACTTTATAAACAGCTCAATCCTCTGCTCAAAGAATAAGGCACCTAGCCACAGAAGAACCTCCATTAGCAACACCCGCCCCTCCCCCTTCTCTCTCTCATATACACACACACACACACACATATATATATAGAGAGAGAGAGAGAGAGAAGGAATGGGAGGGAAAAGATTTGCTCTTCTTCTGTGTGCAAAGGACACAGATTACGTGAAGAAGAAATACGGAGGGTACTTGGGGGTTTTCGTCGGAATGCTGGAGGAGGAAGGCGAGATTTGGGACGTGTACCGTGTGGAAGCCGGCGAATTTCCGGCCGACGACGTGGTTGAAGACTACGACGGGTTCGTGATCAGCGGCAGCTGCAGCGATGCCCATGGGAATGACGTTTGGATCTGCAAGCTCCTGAATCTGATCAAGAAATTGGATTCCTTGAAGAAGAAAGTTCTCGGCATTTGCTTCGGTCATCAGGTTTGGCCATATTCTTTCTCATTCATCGTTTTTTTTTTAAATTTTATCCATCTACATAACACAAAATTGAAAATAACATGAGTCAAATTAAGAATAAAAAATAAAATAAAATGTGATTAACTGGTATTATAAGCATAAAAATAATATTTTATATTAGTATTATTGAGTTATTTTAAAATTAAATATATTTTTTGACACGAGTGTTTATATAATGATAATATTTAAAATAACAGGACAAAAAGTTTGAGTTGGGTAACTTATCTTATTAGGCATCAACTTTCCTGAAAATTGGGGGGTTTTAGGAATACTTATTGTCAAGGGGTCAAAGTAAAACTATCGTAGAAATATTTAGCAGTAAGACCATGCCGCATTCGAAGGTAGACCTTGTTTGACAATAAGTTTTCCAATGTGAAACTTTATAGGATTGTCAAAATATATTCAATACAGACCAATTTATATATATATATCTTTCTTTCGGACTCCACCTTGGGACAGCAAAAAGATTGTGTGTACGACGGATGCGTCAATTTTATGGCCTATCATCTTGGATTTTCGTGTCTTACAACTTTCTCCAAAAATAAAGACGTGGTTTAGTTGACTTGGACATTTTGGTAATTAGATATTAAAAGTCTTTTGTTTTTCACACTCTTTAATGATTAGTTATTCACTCTAATCGGTTCAAGTTATGGTAATCAATTATTGAGCTCAAACGAGTAATGTAATTTAAGACTTTAGAGGTCTCATATTCAATTTTTTTTCACACCTTCTAAATACTAGCCACTCGCCTGAACATAATTTAAATTACGGTGATCAGTCGCTGAACTCGAGAAAGTAATTGACGCAAATTTGTACCCCTTATAACAAAAAAACAAATGAATACTATGTTTGATACTTTTAATATTTGGTTCATTATTCAACGCTTTCAAGTCAAATTAGAGAATTTTTTAATTCTGTTTTCAATGATAAGAATCTATTCCATTAATAATTAAATCTATTTTTATTAAAAAAAAAAAAGAATTATAGACGATTCAAACCCGATAAAATCAAGTTTTAAATCCTTTATAAAATCTAAAATCACTAGAACTCAAAATTTAAATCTTTAATCAAATTTTCGGTCTCCAAAATGATCAAAAACTTGGGGTTACAAATTAGAAGTAGGGGTATTATGGTCTTTTTAATATTACAAATGGGTGACGTGGAACGCGCGCCATCAATTGAAACTGAGAAAAAGACATAAAAATGCAAGTGGGGTTTGGATTATCTGTGGTGAAAAGTGGATAGTTACCCTATGAGTTGTCCATTAACCGTACGATTACCTACCTGATTGGGGACCATTCACCAAATAGCACGTGTGTAATTTTTGGGGCTTCACTTTCTCTGCCCCTCTCCCTCATGCCACCTACTCTTACAAATTTCTGTCTATTATCATATCGAAAAATATTTTTTTAATATCATAAATATACCTTATGTGTATAGTTTTTTTGGATGTCTCTATTTTGCAATGGGGTACACTCGTCACGTCTAAGATGATAGCATCCTCGGGTGAAATAGTTTCTCTCCTTTTACCCCTGGTAGTTTGGATCGGTCATGTCCTTAATTCTATTCTTTCACGAGTCTGTTGAATCATAGATTGTTTCGTTGTTATCCAAACTAAGTGTGGTAGGTATTATTGCACCCTTAAAGAGCTCAATGAATCGACAAGCAACGTCCTATGTTGTCCACTATAGTGGTCAGTGGAGCTTAGGTAGGATTAGGATTTGTCATTCCCAAATGCACATTATCACTACCGTTCCCATTTCATTTCATTCATCATGTGTGCCACCCACATGTTCAACCAGGACACATCCCCCACAGTGGGGCTAAGGTAGGACAAAGGAAATGTCATTCAGTCATTCACCACTATGTCACATGCTTCACATATGTGGTTGCTTCTAATGGTTTGTGTACTATTATGATATCTAGATACTAATCTTATGGTTAATGCTGACAAGGCTTTTAATCTAATGTGCGACAGTGACTGTTCAACCAACACGATTACTTTCGTAGCAAAATTAATTGGCCTCAGTTATGCTGAGCCGTATTAGAAAACCTATGTTCATAAGAAACTTTTATTGACAATAATGCCTTTTATTCAGTTCCAATTTTTTCTTTCATGATCATGAGGTAGATTTGTATATTTATGCAAAAAGGGTTTTTTTATTTTATTTTATCAGATATTAGGCAGGGCAATGGGAGGAAAGATTGGCAGGGCCATCTCAGGGTGGGATATCGGAGTGCGAACCGTTCATTTGTCATCCTCATCAAAGCTTTTCACGTCTCTAAAAATGCCTGCTCTATTGCCTGTGATCGAATGCCATCGAGATGAGGTGTGTTTTGAGAGAACTAAGACTGCATAACAGTCTTTTTTTGCTATTTTTCTTCTAAGAATGGACTGTTCTTGTTATTGTAAAAATGTTCAGTGTCTCGTAATGTACTTTTATAAACTAGGTCTGGGAACTTCCTTCAAAAGCAGAGGTGATCGCATGGTCCGATAAGACTGGGATTGAGATGTTTGGGTATGGTGATCACATCATGGGCATCCAAGGTCATCCAGAGTACACTAAGGACATTCTTCTGCATCTTATCGATCGTCTTGTCCATCGCAAAATGATTGTGGTAGGTCATCCATCTTGTTTTTTCTCGATTTATAACACAATGTGGATAATTTTGTCTTTTGAACGGTCTAGTCCACCAACATAAAGATGCTTTTCACACTATGCAGGACTCCTATGCTGATGAGGTGAAGGCTAGAGTGGAAGCAATTGAACCAGACAGGGAGGCTTGGAAGAAATTGTGCCTCAGCTTTCTCAAGAGTCGATTATGATGAAAATTCTTAATTTCAAATAAAAAAAAAAGTGACAAAAAAAGTAGTAAGGGTTGTATGTGTTTATGAATTTGGGCAGTTTGTTTGAAGAGATGTCTTAAGCTGTGAACAATTTGCTATATCACAATTGGGTCTTTCCTTCAATAGAAAAAGCCACATAAAATTACAGCACACGTGTTTAGAATTGAGGCTCTATTTCTTTTGATTGTTTATTAGGTTATGTGGTGGTTGACCAAGGGAAAATTTTTAGTTTGGTCACCCATGACAATTATGGTTTTGGTCTTTTAGCGCCTTGATAAAAAGTCATCAATAATGTTAGATTGACCAAATTTTTGGACTAAATTTGAAGTCCAAATGACATGACAGCTGACTTGAATTTCTTTGATTGGTGGCATGCCATTTAGATCCCATTAAAAATTTCAAATAATCAGCTGTCATGTCATTTGACAATTTAGACTCTAAATGTGAACTCAAAATTTAGTCAATCTAGCATTACTAAAAAATCATAATCTCATATTAGCACATTGGCTTCCAATAACCAAACACATGGTGCGACAGCATGCGAAGAGTAGGGTGGCAATTGTGTGGGTCATGCTCATTATGTGAAGAGAAAGATTCGCTAAATTGAGACCGATCTCCCCTCGTAAACTATCCCTTCTTTCAAGATCAAATTGAAAGGTTTTTATTCCAACATAACTCCCATCACTTTATTTTTTCATCCTCTTGAAAGTTGTCTTTTTATTGATTAATTTCGTTCCTACTAAAAGAAGTGAAAGAGAAAGAGAATATTCCCTCTACTTCCATGAAAACGAAAGAAGGTACCGAAAGAGATAGTGAAATGGAGACAAGAAAAACTAAAGATTCAAAAGATTTCATGATTATTGCTTATCGATTGGCAAGCGTGCTACTAGGTGCCGGACAAGAGCTAAGATTGTCAACCACCAACCAAGCCAATGCACAATTCGTATCCCTTCCCAATGAAACTTTCTTTGATTTGAATGAATGAGGAACGAAGTCTCAAGCAAGAGAAAAGAAAGGCCCTATTTGGGCATTGAACCCTAGTACATTGCAGAACTCTAATTTTTGTCTATGGAAAAATTAAATCATAGAGACAAACAAAACTATATAGATTCTCAACAAAAGAGAAACTCGGCCTCGATCAGTCGGCCTGTGCTACTAAAGAAAAAGAGTTGTGGAGATGAACACCCATACATCGTGGCTAAGCTGGTGGCCAACTAGAATCTCATATAACGTGAATCAAAAATTTAAAACCAAAATTTTTGTCTAAGATTTGATTTGCGATAAGAGGTTGTGTTAATAAAGGGTTTGTGTGGAGAAATAATCAATCTTAATCCACTAATTTTATGTCGAACATACGTATCATGCCATCAATTGACACCATCCCCAATGAAGAGCAAGTTTTTGAATTTAGAAAGGCTGCCCAAATGGAAGAGTATGAGAAAAAAAAAAAGGAATTTAAAAGTCAATACAATTTTTTAGACTTATTTGAGCAAAAATACAACTCAAAAACTTATTTAGGGTAAAGTGCATATTTTTAAAAAATACCAGTATTGTCATTCGGTAAACAATGGAAACGTAAAACTCATTTGTATTACTCCATATTTTATGGCTACAATCAGTTAATGGCTAGTAAAAAAGGGAAATTAATTATCAAAACTTTTACTCTTAGGCATCCTGATTCCATAGCAATGAAATATCCATAGAATGACATAATTGATTATTTTTTCTATTTTAACCATTGAATATTCCACAAAAAAAGAGTAATATGATAGTTTCAAAATCCAACTATTCATCATCACCGACATCATGCAGACCTTGTTCAGCGTCTCCGGCAACTTCTTCGCCGGAAATTTGGGTTGACATTCTATTTTTTTTTTCATTCATTGATTATTTGGTTTTTTTTTTTCAAAAACCTATGTAAGTTGATTCAAAAATAAAACTAAATCATAAAACCCTAATTTTGTGAAATTATATTAAGAACTTGCAAATCTATTATAGCATGTGTATATGAAAAAAAGCAATTTGGAACATGTATTTTTTGATAAAAAAATAATTATGTACTTGTTTTAAGTAACTATTTGAGATTCAAATACATAATTTTTTTATTCAAAATTTAATGAGTTTAACTGTGTTGCATAATTATTCTTCTAATTTTAAAGATTCAATTCTTATAAGTCTGTTATTAGCAACTTTATGATTTATGATTTTTTTGATTAAAAATAGTTACGTAACTGTTTTAAACTATTTGAAATTCAAATATAAATTTTTTTTATTCAAAATTTAATGGATTTAACTGTGTTGCATAACTATTCTTTTAATTTTAAGGATTCAATTCTTATAAGTATGTTATTGACAACTTTATGGTTCAGAATTTTATTTGATTAAAAATAATTACGTAACTGTTTTAAATAACTATTTAATATTCAAATAAAGACAATTCATATTTAAAATTTAATAAGTTTAATTGTGTTGAGTAACTATTTTTATGATTTTAAGGATTAAATTTTTATATTTGTTATCGATAACTTTATTGATTGACTATTGAATAATTGTATCTTATTTGTGTTGTAACTCTCTTGAATATATATTACTAAATCAAGCATAATGTTAATGATCTTTTTCTCATTGGATTAATTGTTGTTCACATTCACGATAGAGGTAAGTCAAAACAGAGGCCAAACCAAGTGCAATGTCGTATTTGTATGGCCATTTCAATGGGTTACCCAATTCAAATTTTGGGTAGAGTATCTTATCAAGACTCCCATTGGACATAAACTCAGATACAAGTATCAATTCACCCTTCTCAACACACCAACATCGGAGCTGAAATAAATATGTGTCTCAAACAAGCAATAATGGACAATTCATCTAAGAATTCAGTTTTACCTTCATGAAAATGATTTGATCTTTTCATTGCTATAACAATTCTTGATTCAAAAAAAATTTACAAATATACACGATTTCTAAAATAGATATTAGCTGAAAAATTGCACATAATAACATATACATTAAAACATAACTCTAATTAAAAAACAATTACACCCATTAAAAACCAAAACAATATTTTCCCATTCATCCCAAAAAATGAACTTCTTATAACAATCTTTAATTAATAATATGAGAATAAAATAAAACAGTCAACAAACAATGACATATAACCTTTTTTTGAAAACATACATTAATGCCAATATGAAAAAATAGTTACACCAATTTTAAAAACAGTTACACCCATTAAACTCAAAACAATTTTTTTTTCCATTCATTCCAACAACGACCAAACATACACAAAATCAAACATATGAATTTCTCAAAAAAAATGATAGAATTGTAGAAGAAATATAATTATTTTATCTATACTAAAAATAGTTACACCCATAAGAAACAGTTACACCCATTAAGATCAAAACAATTTTTTTTCCTCCATTCCAACAAGAAACGAACATAAAACAAAAATCGAACAAAGAAATTTCCAAAAAAAAAAAAAATATATATATATATATATATATATATATACATATATATATCTATAATTATTAACAACTCACCTTCAATCCGATAACGATGATTAGTATTTACAATTCCTTTTTCAAAGAAAACTACCACCGGAGAAATAAATTACCATTGAAGAAGACTTATGTTGAAGATGACTTATCAGTTAAACACACAAGTTTGATTCAAAAAAATAAAAATGACAAATATGTAAAGATTACATATTTGTTTCCTAAAATAACTGTCAATAGATGCATAAATCTCTCACAAAACTGCTCATTCAATATTCAAAAATTAATAGATAACAAATATGTAATCTTTACATATTCGTTTCCTAAAATAACTATCAATCATGGCTGCATAAAATAAGGAAGGGTGTTTAAGTAAAAAAAATTTTAATTCATTTGAATTTTGTACCTAAATATAAAAAAATTTATAAAAATTGTAGTTAATAGAATAAACCATTTACCCATGCACTTTTGCTCAAATAAGTATTGAAAATTGTACCCACCCACAAAAAACCCAAAAAAAAATGAGCCAAATTGCAACTTCTCCAAACTGGTACTTCTCTTTAAAATTGAAGTATTGAACTGTAACAGAAATCCCCATATTTGTAATCTGTCTTTCAAATTTAAGCATTACTGTACAGCTAAGATTTCACATATCAGAAACACCCAAATGTAGAACTCATTAGGCAGTAGATATGCAATAGCATTACATCTGGAGAAACATCAGCAACAATCCTGATGTGCCTCCATTTCAACCAAAGAGTTCATAAAAGATTCAAGTTTGGTACCTTTATTGCAAGCATGCATAAAACCATGTTCATTAGCTAAAACAATAATAGTAGACGGAAATCACTGGTAAAAAATATGTAGTGTCAATCCACCAAACACAGTAATCAAAAGCAAAATAGAAGAGTTTTTTCAATGTATTGCAAAGTATGGTGGACTACTTAGGCACTCATCATAGAACCTGAGTTCCTCTTGCACTCGGACAACATATCCATATAGAACTGACACTTGCTGATATCATTGCCAGAGCTATTCAGGCACTGCAAAAAACCAAAGATGAAAAACACATTCAGAAGGCACTTCTCAATATCCCTACACGTTGTCTTAGCTTAAGCTCCAAGAACAAAATTTAGAGAAGCTTGATTGGACAATTACATTACATATAGTTTGGATGTAACAAAAAAATAACATGAGAAATCTGAGCTTACACGATGACACAAAATGTTTGCTCTGTTATAAACAGTAATACTTACAATGTAAATATCTGACCGTGAATTTTCCGATTCTCTCACTTCCCAACATATAAAACCAACAAAATGCATCTAATTTTGCTTGATAATATTCATATCTTCAATGCTCAGAAATAAAGTAACAACTAAGCCTAACATAAAAACCATATATTGGGAATCTAGCCCAAAAGATTCGAAGAGTGAAGCAATCCAACAAAATGTGGAAATGGTCTTTGTCATCCCAATCAGCAAAGAACTACCAAAGAAAATCATCCTTGCGATCCAATTTTATTTCAAATTCAGATTCAAAAGTTAAAGTATGACTATTCTTAGTGTTTCACAAACTAGTGCACATGTAATGTGAACAACTAAGAGAGAGAGAGAGGGAGATGCTATGAGTGTTTCAAAAACTACTGCCCATGTAAGGGGAACAACTAAGAGAAACAGAGCATACATCTTGGAATGCCTTAGAATGCACACCACAAGCATCAGAGCCACCGATACTGTTCATGTGGGGTGCTGGGGCAGCAGCAGCTTCAGATACAACAGTTTCGTGCTGAATGGTGCGAGGACCTAGCACAGCATCTACAGCCCTGTGTGCCATAGCACTTCCACCACCAAAAGCCATGCCTGTGACAAAATAAACAATAGTTGTTCAAAATTGTGCCAGATTCAACCACCCCACAAATATACATTTGTCGTGATAGACAATGAACTGCAATAATAATTGATGATCTCTCTTCATTTACCTTGAGCAATGGTTGAACCAATGCTTCCAAGTATGGATCCGCCACTGCCACCTTGAACAGGAGCTGGAGGAGGAGCATGGTTTGCTGCGGCAACAAAAACAATGCATGAATTAGATTCAATTCACTAAATTCCAAGTAGATTGAAAGATAATAAAAAAAGAGAAACAATAAAAAAACAACAAAAATGATACTGAGTTTCAGGTAGATTGAATGATAAAAAAAAACGATTAAAAAAAAAAGGAGGAGGAAGAGTAACATGAAATGAAAATTAGCACATTGATGCACAGGAAACTTTCAAATTCATGTGAATGCTATAATGGTTCTTAATGATTCAATCCTACAGTACCTGGTGCAGGGGGATTACGAGCTGGTGCTTGACGAGGAGCCGCACGGGGTGCAGATCTTCCTGCAAAAGAAATTATAAACAGCTGCAGAAATATTGACAATACAAAGAAACACAACTATTTCTTAGCCATGCAAAGCAGGTACAATACCCATGTGAGGAATTATACAACACATAAACATGGCAGTATTTAGGTTTCTTCTATTCTATGTTTGCTAGGCTAAGAAGGAAGCTCAGTTTTGTTGTGCAAATAGACACAACAGAGTGGATACAAAAGAGACCACGAAATTCAAGCATGCCAAAGTTAAAAATCCACGATGTCCTAGGCGCCCAGATAACCATATTACAATATTACAAAAAGTCAATGAACAACTCACATGAATTCCGAAAGATTGGGAAATGTTGAAAAGAAATTTCAAAGAAAAACAATGAGAAACCCTTCAAAAACCTGAACATAAACAGAAATAAGTCTACAATTCTTGTTGCTTTACATAATGTAGCAAATTGATGACCCGACACCATACATATTTGCACATAGCATGTCCCAGATCAAAACTTCACTCAATGATCCAATCTATGTAAGTTGACACTTGACACCTATCATGTTTTACTTCGCCGTTGTCAAGCAATTTTTGTTAGGTAGTTGTAATGTACTCCCCAATTCATCCTTGGACTTGACACGATGATCCAAGAAGTAACTGACACCTAAAATTTATTCCAGACTCCAACTAAGAGTATCAGTAATCAAATGAAACTATATACTAAAGACATCTCAAGACCCAACAATCAAATCCAAGTTCAAGCTTTTATACCATATTGCAACAGCAAAGTCACGGTGATGGAAAATAAACTCAATAAATTTTCATATAAAGAAATAAGAAATTGTTTCATTATCAATCCTCTTTAGGTGAATCTAAATTGCCCCAAAACAAAATTGCAAAACTAACCCACTATTTGAAGGATAAGAAAAAACATTTAAATCATTTATCTCAACAATAGGTGAACGAAAGCACAAAACCCTCGAATATGAAGTGAGAAGAGAAAAGAACAACAGATCCGCATGGTCATCAATAGACCGAAGAAGCAAAGATCGAAAAATCACCAGAGCTTCTTCCGGAGCTTCTTCTAGCCATGATCTTCCTAGTTTAGATGCGTCCAAACCCTAAAGTGAATATAAAGAGAGAGAGACTCTTATATTCTTTGAATATAAGAGTCTCCATGGGCCAAGGGTAGGGCTTGGGCGGGACGATTCCGGGTCAAGCCCATGTCTTGAAATAGTCAAGTCAGAACGGATTGGGGGTGGATATCGGGTATGGGTCTACGTCACAGTCCAAGAAGGGAACGGGACTTGTATCTTTCTATAGAGTTTACTCTAAAGCTAACTAAAAAGAGTTTAAAAAAGGCCGTTGCCCGTTAAAACTCCTTGTAACTACGGTTTTCATTTCCTTCTCTGATTGTAAAGTCCGAAAGAAAACAAATTTTTTTTTTCTCTGATCCCAGACTTGCCTACTTGACTTATAAAATCCGTTTTACCTAAAATAGATAAGGGAAAGGAAAAAAGAGATTCTGTTATTCAAATATAAATTCAATCTAATCTTATGTTTGGTAAGCAATATAATTAAAGAAAATTGAGAGCAGATACGTTTTAAACTATTTAATTATGAGAAAATAACGTGACTAAAATATTTAACTTGAAATGTATTGTAATTAGGTATTCATTGACAAATTTTTAAATATTTTTTTCACCAAAATATATTTTTTCTTATTTGAAGGCTTGTTAGTTTAGTAATCCCATTTTATATGGGATTTAATTTATTATATTAATGGTTTCATATTTTAAGAGATTTAACATATTTGAAATTCAAAATTATACCAAATGGAATATATCTTAATGTCATGACCCATATTTTAAAATTCATTTTTTATTTTATTTTTTAGTACAAAACATTTTTGCTTATTCTCAAATTTAACAACATTATCACTTTACAATATTACATTGTGATGTAATACTGTCATTCTTTAAAAGTAATATATATATATATATATATATATATATATATATATATATATATATATCACATTACGTGATGCATACTATTTAGATCGTGTCTGAATCAGTAAATGTAATTTCATAACCTTTTTGTTAGTGATTAAAGGGTTAATAAAGGTGTTATACTATCATATGTCATTGTAATGTCACATTATCGGCAATTTGAATAGGAATAGAAGTCAGATCAGTCTTCAATAATGTTTCAACATATGGGTTTTTTTTTTCGAAAAATTGAAGAATTTTGTAGCAGAATTTAAAAAAAAAAAATTTAAAACCCATGTTTTGAGGATATAACAATTGTTGAATTTAATGTGATTGTTGCATGATTTATGGTAGTTTCCTTATCCATTATTTGCCTTAGGTAATTGTTACTTTGTGGGCATTTTTGTTTTAAAAAAAAAACTTGTACACAAAACATTTTGTATTGAACATTTTTCCACAATTAAGTAGTAAATTAAGTACTAGCTTACAAAAAATTATATAAATAAATGTGGGACCTATGAATTTATAATAATTATCAATGCACATTTGTTTTGTAAATGACTATAGTGTCTATTGGTCAATGAACCAATAGGATTTGGTAGATATGATATTTTATTAAGAATAGAATGGTCATTTGATATAATTAGCCTAGGCTATCATATATGAAACCACTCTCAGGTTTGCCAAAACTCATGTGCATGGGTTTAATACTCCGAACCACTTACATGCCGAGATATAGAATAAAATAGTCTATCAAACTCTTTTATTTAAATCCACCATTCCAAACTCGCCCAAACCCATCAAACAAAAACCCCATATAATTCACGACTACTATTGGCGGGTCAAGATGGGCTAGTCATAGGGTTAAAAACAAAAAAATTTACATACATAAAAAATTGTAATTTTGTGAGTTTGTAATCTATAAACCATATCTTGTAAACTAAAAATTCAAATTATAATTAAGAGCATCTCCTATATTACTTTCTATTTTAGAGAGTATCTTTTTTTGAAATAGATAACATCTTTGATAAAATTTTGAAATAAAAAGTGAAAATATTTTAGACAACTCCAATAAATTCTCTATTCTAGTAAAAAAATAATCTTATAGTCAAGAATATTTAATGAAGAATGTAGATGTATCATCTTTTTCATTCATTAAAATTAGAATAGAGAGTGAGTTAGATTCTCCAAATGTAGAGAGTCAAATAAGGTTTTCTATTTTAGCTATTTTAAATAGAGAGTTTGTTAGAGCTTGATTTTTGATAGTTTTTTTTTTTTAGGAAAACCTCGACGGTGCGAGGGAATTTTATTGATTAAAAATAAATTACACCTAGTTAAGGGGGATGTATGTACCTTATCCCTTGATGCAATCTAATTACATGAATAAAATTAATATCAGAAAAGGCAAAATGCATGCATAGTACAATAATAATGAAATGAAATACACAAAGCATGCTACCTAATGTGAATTGTGGCAACCAAAGTAGATTGTAAGCCTACAAAAGAGCAATTGGCAGCTGAGAGTATAAAAGCTGAGAGAACTTGCAAGCTGCTTAGTGGACAACAGCAGCTGCTGATCACGTAAATGAGCAAAACAGCAGCATAAATGGGCTGCATTTGTGATGAACAGATTGAACAGCTATTAGATAAGTCCCTTGAACTTCCAGCATACCATTTGAAAACTGAACACAGTCTGCCTTCGAAAAAGAAAGGTCAAATGCACTGACAGATGATCTGCCTTTCTGAAAGTCCAATATTTCTCCTTATGAGAGGGATGAAGACGAAAGTCCAGAATCTTAAAACCATGAGAAAGCCATTAAATCCCAGAACAAAGAAAGAATACCAGTAAACTACAACGTTAATCCTTCAAGCACATAAGATCCGAGTGTGAACATCATCCAGATAAGATTCTTTTCCTTAGATTTTTAATTTGCCTTGAATCCTGCATCATAAGTAGCTTAATTTTTTTAGGAATGTTTCCCATAGAATCATATGTGGTCGATTGTTTATCTGTAACCCCTTTATTTGTCAAAGCATCTGCAACCATATTACCTTCTCGATAACTATGCTGAATCTAGAATTTAAACTGCTGAAGGGTAGAAGTAATTTGATCTACAAGAACCCAATTCCTCCAAGACACTTTAAACTTCTTATTAACCATATCAACCACCAGTTTTGAATCTGTCTCAATCAACAAATCATAATCTTGAAGTCCATAGTCTTGCAATAGTTTGAGGCCACTCAACTAAGCTTGCATTTCTGCCTCTATATTTGTGCATCTACCATAATAAAAAAAACCTGCCAGAATCAAATTAACCCATGGCATTACGTTGAATTACCCCCCTTCCTAACTCACTTGGATTGCCTTTTGAAGCACCATCGACATTAAGCTTAATCACATCATTAGATGGGTATCTCCAAGCTATCCACCACGTATGCATCCTCACTGCACCAGTGTTAGGGACCTGTAATGAATGCAATAACTGTATCTCCTTTGCTGAATCCAATGTTTTTGGCTTGACAATATGCACTTGCAACCTCAAAAAATGAAGAACTTTGCTGACCAGAGTATTGTAATGTTAACATTAATCCTCAAAAATTCTGTTACATCTTTCTTTCCATATTTGCCATAATATCAATAGAGTAACTCCCCTAAGTAAAGCATGGCTGACAGACAGATGTTTAATCTCTAAAATAAAGAGTTGAGTGAGAATAAAGAGCCTACGAAAAATACTTAAAAATTTTATCCCACGACTAGTCAATCCTGCGTCGAGGGAGCTAATTTTTAAGTCAAGTATCAAGCTTAATATTCTAGGCTGGGCATCATACTATCATGGCCCAACTTGACTCATAGACAACTTCTAGAGATAGTTCAAGTAGTAACGGAGATAAACTGTAAATTCATACGTTTTGTATTCGAATCTTGATACCTTATTGGGATTAGACTATTAGATATTTATTCCTCATGAATACTCTAGTTTAGGTGTGGATGACTTGTCTTTGATCAGACAAAAAAAAAAATTAGTCCAGGCATGTATAAGATGGTCCGAACACTTTTGACCATCGAATAAAAAAAAACTTGACCCATAGACAAGCCTAGAATATAATTTGTGTACTGAAGCTAATTCCATGAATTATATTTGGATCCCACTAAACTTTTTTGGATTTGATTGTGGCATTTAATAACAAAAATAATAAAGTAAAATACAAATATAAAATAAATAATTTATTTATTGGGAAGTCAAACTCACGAAAATTATATTATAATTTATATAATAAAGTACAATACAATTCAAATTTCAAAAAATAAACAAAATGACTTTTACTTTTTACAGTTGAGATCTCTTTAAATTTTATTTTAAAATTAATCTGACGGTTAATATTAATATCTCAAATTTAAAAGAGGAAATCAGTCCCTAAGAGTGTGTTTTAGATAATTTTTTAAAAATATTTCTAAGATTTATAACTTCTCATAAGTATTTTTTTTTTTAAAGTAGTGTTTGTAACTGTCTTACCACTACCACCCCTTGCCCCATCACCATCACCACTACTACCACCCCCACCACCATCACCACTACAATTGTCGCCACCCCCCACCACTATCTCTGCCACAACAACCATCGCCACCACCATTGTCACCACCCCACCACTGCCCCACCATCACCACCACCACTGCTGCCGCCACCTTACCACCATCACTACACCTACTGTCCCACCGTTGCCACTGCAACCACCATTGTTGTCAACCCACCATCCCCATTACCCCACCACCACCACTGTCCCACCATCACCATTTGTCACACACAACTGCCACCATCACTAAAGTCGTCGTCACCCATCACTGTCTCCCACCACCACCACTGTCACTACCACCGGTTGTCGTCACTACAATCGTTGCTTAAATTTATTTTTCTCTTTTCTATGTTTGCGATTTGATTTTAAATGTGAATACAAATATGTTTATTGTTAATTTTTTTTTATTACTTCGTATCTTCAAACACTATAAATAACTAATTATATTATATTGTATCAATTGGTAAAGATTATAGAAGATCAGTGGTGTATCACTTATGACACCCTTATTTTCTTATATATACTTGCAATGTTTCCAACTTATCGAGTTTTCGTTGGTTAAGTGTTTGTTTGAAGGTGATTATGTAAGATTTTTGGATAAATTAATATTTTAGATAAAGTATTTAAAAGTTGTACATAAATTTTTAGGGTTTTAGTCAAATCTTCCAATAAACGAGAGTAATTTATCAAAATACCGTTCCTTTAAAATAAATTTACTAAAATACAATACTTTTTAAAAACGGAATCAGTAATTTCGTTTTTATTAAAAAATGGGTCAACAACCCCGCTTTTAAAAAAATATATTTGATAGTTGCACATTAGAAGCGTATTTAATAACAACGCTTTTAAAAAAGCGTAGTTAGTAAACACGCTCTTAATATGTTACAATAGTACTGTTTACATTTAATAATATTTGATAAGTCCAGATCTAATTGGGTCAGACCCAATTAATAAGTTAAGCCCCAGACAGTTATAAAGCAGGTAAAGTCCAACTCATGAATTCGTTCCAGTTCAAAGTTTAAGGAATCTAGGAAGATTAGCGCACATGTGGAGTAATTATTGGGATATTCACTCTAAAAAAACTATCTTTAATTGTACATATCTTAGTTGTAACTACCTAGTAACCTACCCATCACGCGTACTGCCTCAACCAAAACTCTGTGTTTATAAATTGTAAGTCATTTCCACACGAGAGGCTTTACAAGACTATTTACACGACTATCTTTCTCATAGTTAATCAACCTCTTCTAAAGCTCATCTTTGTTCTCTCTCCCCCTTTCTACTTTATTTATAAAATTCTCTGGCCACAGTTACTATCTGGTTTGGTCACCTCAGCTCAACTCCCCATTATTTTGCCTTTTATTATTGATTGTTTCATTAATTACTATGAATCATACACTCGGTTATGCATAAATTCATTTTTATGCACCATCAACATTGTGTTTGCAACGACAAACCCAGCACTCTTGTTTGATGCTCTTTACTGGAGGAAAAATAATGGGAGGAGGAAGAGGGCGAAGAAGCTTTAAAGAGAGAAAGCACCATGAACAAGAACAATAATTGAAAGAACCTTTCTTTCTCTCCTATGCTATTGTTGGAACAAGATCTGTTTTGGGAAGATGAACAGGTTCTCTCTCTTCTCCAAAGAATAGCAAAATCCATCTCTTTCAGCAAAACCCATTTCTCAGCCGATCTTCAAGAAGAGAAGAGTTCAAGAACAAAATCATACTAGCACCTATGGTTCCATGACTCTAAAAACTGAATTAAACTTCGAAATTGAATCCAGAAACCCATCATCTAGAAGAATCATCTCAAACAAGTAGTGATGAATTAATCACTTCGAAATTCAGAAACCCACACAGCAAATGTTTGTTTTTGAATCTTTGACAAAAGAGAATAATGTTCCAATGAATTCCAAGTGCATATACAACACTGTAAGGGATGAAACCCTCCACTCAGGATTTCGGCTTGACCTCCGCGCGTTCGGGAGTAGCCTTTACCCCTCTTCCTGAGCCGGAGCCCTGGCCTAGCCTAATGTGGGGAGGGCACACCGTATCCCACATCGGAAGAGAGTCGTCTTCCCCCCTCGCATATAAGCCCTTGCACTCAAAGGAGGAGGTACCCACTAGTACCTGATCAGGTGACTAGTGGGTACCTCCTCCTTTGAGTGCAAGGGCTTATATGCGAGGGGGGAAGACGACTCTCTTTCGATGTGGGATACGGTGCGCCCTCCCCACATTAGGCTAGGCCAGGGCTCTGGCTCAGGAAGAGGGGTAAAGGCTACTCCCGAACGCGCGGAGGTCAAGCCGAAATTCTGAGTGGAGGGTTTCATCCCTTACAAACACGGTGATCAATCAACCATTCAACATAAGTCAAAAACTCAGAAACCCACAAAAAGAAAAAGGTATTGCAAAAATACACCATGGAATTCAATCATGCAACGGAAGAGAAAGACGCTTTTCAGAAAAGGTGGTTCTGTTCATGATATTTTTGTGTTAAACAGTGTTTAGTGAACATGGTCTTCAGAAAAACCTTAAACAAGCGTGTTTAGAAACCACGCTTTTGACCTATTCTTTTACAAAGGACTTTTGTCTCCGTTTTTTTTTAACCGAAACGGGATTATTGAATCTATTTTTTAACAAAAGCGGAATCATTGAATTTACTTTTAAAAAATGCCATAATTTAAAAAATAAGATAAAAAATACCTTATTTTAATATATATATTTTAAAAAAGCAGTGTTTTAATCAATAATTCCAGTAAACGAAATATCGTATCAAGTTGATTTGCTAACGGGACTTGGCGATAATTATGTTATTTATTATTTATTGGTTGATAATGTCAGCAGACAATGATTATGTTATATTTTATTTTTGATTAAAATAAAGGGTGAATTAAACTTGTCTTAAAAATTTAAAAATTCTCATTTTATACATTTAAAAATTAAAATTTTGATATAATACTCTACGTATATTAAAATTATTATAATTTGGTCTTTTTTTTATTTTTGTTACTTATTTCGTAGATTTTAATGAGTTGAAATTTGATAAAATAAGTAATAAAAGATAACAGAATGACTACGTTATAACACTTTTAATATATCTTAGAAATAATGTCAGTAGTTTTATAGTTAAGGGTGAAAAATGAAAAAACTTAAATCTTTTGGGGTATAATGTGAGATTTCCCCTAAAATAAATGCTTGTTTTGTGTTTTGATGGCCACTGACATGTCAAAGGAGGGTGTAATGGTCTTTCACTAGGATGGTGCGTAGTTTAATTTCATCCACACCATAGGCTCAACGAAGCTTCAATCCCCTTGTAACCCAAATCAAATCAAAAGCCAATCGTAACCTCTCTCTCTCTCTTGCTTGGGCGGTACCAGAAGAGCCGCTCCCCTTTTGTTTTCTCTCTCCTAAAAAAATTCAAATTCTGCCTCTCTCTCCTCCACCTCACAATTCACAATCCCCCTCAGTGCCCTCACAAGTTACAGTCCTCTAGGGTTTCACCCCCTCACCGACTTCTGCAAGCCCAATCGGCCAATCCCTCTCTGTATTTATACTTTCTGTCTAAGCATTGATCTCGATCTCAATCAATGGCGGAAGAACCAGTACCACAGGCTTCGACTTCGAATGCTGCACCGTTGGGTCACTCGGTGATTCCGATAGTGAACAAGCTCCAGGACACCTTTGCACAGCTCGGAAGCCAGTCAACGATAGAGCTCCCTCAGGTGGCCGTCGTCGGAAGCCAAAGCAGCGGCAAATCGAGCGTTTTGGAGGCTTTAGTTGGCCGGGACTTCTTGCCGAGGGGTTCCGATATTTGTACAAGAAGGCCCTTGGTTTTGCAGCTCCTCCAGACAAAGAGGAAAGCGGGTGGAACCGAGGAGGAGTATGGAGAGTTCCTGCATCTTCCGGGGAAGAGGTTTTTCGATTTTAATGATATTCGAAGGGAAATTCAGGTAATTTTTTATATGTACATGGTTTTTGTGCTATAATGTATTGATTCTTTATGGATTCGAGATTTTTTTTTGGGTTGAACCTCGCTGGATTCGGGATAAATTCTGATTCTTAGTCAAGATTTTTTAATTGAATTCGAGAGTACAGTAGTATTTAAGCAATGGGGCTAATAGGACTGTGTGGTGTGGTAAAATTGAGTTCCTAACAGTTTGGAAACAGGAATGTCATATAACCTCGTTTTCAAATTGGCAACCAAGTGATGAGATGGTATTTTTGGTTAACTCTGTTGGATCCTTGGAATTTAATCTTACCGTTAATTGAGAAATGAAACCTGTGCTATCGTGAGTATCCATAGAAAAGCAGAATGGGGAGAATATCACCCCGTAACGTTTCCTTACAAAAATGGGATGTCAGAAAATTGTATTGATGAAGAATTTTCATTTGGGGAACAAGGATATTAAATCCTGTTTATTGCTGGAAGTAGTGTGTAGAAGATTGGAACAAAGCTCTATTTTTTTTGATCAATTTTCAGTAGGTGCAAAGTATTTATTAGTAGTGTACTCACATTGTCAGCCGAGCTCAAGAATCATAGAGTTCTTCAAATCTCCAGTTGTTTTGATCATTTCTGAACTAGGGTTAGTTTAATTTTACGAAAATAGTGCATTATTTGGTAAAAATCAGGCTGATTTTAACTGTTAATAACAGCAACTGTCCCTACCACCATTGCCTTTGCTACCATATCTTAGAGAATTTTTTATATTATTGTAATTGATAGTGTGAATGGGTAAATCACGCCACCTTTCATGTCCATTGGAAGCTTGCACGATTTTGCCCATAATAAGCAATTGCGACTTTCTATTTAGATGCTGGTAGTAATATCATTGATAAAATGCAAATAGTGCATTATTTGGTAAAAGTCAGGCTACCTTTAACTGTTTACATGATAACAAGAAGTCAGCAAGTGTCCCGTGGATCATGGCAAAGTCTGCAGGCCCTGCATTGGCTTTGCTACTATATCCAAGAGGACTTTTGATATGGTTACTGCCAATTTCATCTGCCTTTGTTGTCTATTTTAGCATTTTACTACATACTTAACTCTGCCATGAGTGCCACTGCCTTAAAAACCAACACCTTCACTGTCACCAATGCCAATGGCCTTCACAACCAACACTGTCACCATTACCATTCTTATTATATAGACTTCATTTTATTGATACACACATTCGATAAAGGGTGTGGTCGTGGTGCAGTGATTGTAAATTTTATTCCCAAGTTAGTTTGATCATATACACTTCATTTAACATTAGTCGGGGCTTATAGGTTTTAATGTTTTAAATATTTATTTAGCATGTTATTCTTAAGTCTTTATTTTCCAACCATAGGATTGATATTTCCCATCATGCTATAATTTTGATCCTTTGAAGATAGGAATATGCTATATATGATTTTCTGAGGGAACACTGTCTGTAGTAATATAAATTATGATGCAGATTTGTAGCTAGTTCTTTCCCATATTCTTCATGTGTACTTGGGCTGTATTCTTCTTCTGATAGGAACCTTTTACGAAATATTATCAATCAGCAAGAAAAATGATGTTTCTACTCAATATACAAACTTCTCGGAAAAGTCATGTCTGAGGGTTTTAGACTACTCTCCTGAAGAATGAATACTGTTATGTGTTACTAGATCTTGTTAAATTCTAGACATGCATCGTAATAAAATTAATCTATTTATTCAGTTAAGGTACATATAATTTTCTTAGGCAACTTTTTTTTTTTTTGGCAGAGTTAAATTATGTAGCACTGCAAACGTACTGTTTAACACCAAAATCTATATCTCATTGCCCAACTTGAATTTTTAATATCTTTTTGTACTTTCACATGAAAGAACATCTCATCGATATGTTTACGAATGATATTGTATACATTTTGTGTCTATTGGAAGCTTGCATGATTCTGCCGAAATAAGCAATTGCCACTTGCTATTTGGATGCTGATAGTAACATCATTGTGTTAGGACTCCATAGAACACAACTATGAATTGGGTATGAATTGAGTGATTGACTAGAAAGACTGGATAGTGGAGACAAATGAAAAATTTCCAGGTAGCTGTTTTTGTACTAATTTGCTAGTGATTTTCTTTTTGATTGTTAACGAATATCCTTTAGATTACAACTGCCCCTTTATTTAGCTTAATAAATGGATTATTATCAGTTGCTTAGTTCATTGATACCACTACCTTTCCTCATTTCTGTTCCTACTTCCTATCATGTCTTTCTTCTGTCTGTAATCAGTACCATGCTTAATAACTGTTGTTTTTTGGGATATTTTGCATTGTTTTTTGACAAGTAAATGAAGGGAACAACTTTTTCCCCATACTGGGGTTTAATAATGTGACCAATATCATGCCAGTGGTTGGCAGTGAAAGGCATTAATAGTGGAATTTGTAAAAGTTCAACAGTAGCTTAGAAGAAAGGGAGACAATTAGATAAATAAAGAAGATAAACATTGACAAATTATACTTTTCTGAATATTTTTGTGCATCTTTTCATTTTAAGCTTGCTTGTGGCAGTTCCAATGATCATAGAAGTGGAACTGCTTTATAATAGTTTTAGAGGTCTACTATTTTATTGGGGTGCGGAATTTGTTTTTAAGAACTTGGCATTGGTACTGCTCAAGTGGAAAAATATTTTTGTCTCCTCAAGTGCTAAAGTAGAAGAAGGTGGTTTTTCGAGTTTGTAAGTAGTTTTCTTATTTCTTCTATTTCTTTTAACTTTGGCTAAAATTTATCTTTTTTCTTTCAAATTCTCTGAATTTGAATTTAGGCTGAGACAGATAGGGAAGTTGGAGGAAACAAAGGTGTTTCGGACAAGCAGATTCGCTTGAAGATTTTTTCACCAAACGTCCTGGATATTACCCTGGTGGATTTGCCGGGCATAACAAAGGTTCCTGTTGGTGACCAGCCTTCTGATATTGAAGCACGAATTAGAACAATGATAATGTCCTATATTAAACTACCAAGCTGTTTAATACTAGCTGTTACACCAGCAAATTCTGACCTAGCAAACTCAGATGCTCTTCAGATAGCTGGAAATGCTGATCCCGATGGTAGGTTCTGCTTCCCATATCAGTTGAACAAGCTGACATATTAGCCATAGTGTGGTGTGCTTGCTCTCTCACTCTGTAGCTTATACGTGATATTTTCTGCTGGCAGGCTATAGGACAATTGGTGTAATCACAAAGGTGTGTTATACATATGACAACAGATTTCTTATTTATATGATTCCTTTTATAGAATTTTGTACCAGTTAGTTGTTACGTGGCTTAGCATATTTTCTCTGTTGCTTCAGTTGGATATTATGGACAGGGGTACTGATGCCCGCAATTTTTTACTTGGAAAAGTGATTCCCCTCCGACTTGGTTATGTTGGTGTTGTGAATCGTAGCCAAGAGGTAATATTTCAGCTCATATCATTGGGGAAAACTAAGCTTTTATGCCACAATATTCTTTTGCTTGGTTTTGCTGAGTAGAGACTGAAGCTAATTTTTTTCCACCCTGGTTTTAGTTATAAAAACTTTTATTCAATTTTATATATTTTTGTTGCACACCTTTTGAAAGTATCATGTGTACACTCTATTTTTGTTTTGCCCTTGAATCTTTCTTTTTCAACGGACAAGTTTCTTTTGAGCAGTAATCGTTTATGTGAGTGATGCATTAATCTCCTACTTTTTTGTTCTTCTTATGTGTTTTTCCTCAAAAATCAAAGTACTTGTCTAACTAGCACCTCTTGCACTTCCCTTTTATGGTTCTCCAAAAAGTACAATGGATCAAAAGAAGGTGCAAGTTTTCTGTTCTCCTTGGTCTTTCTTATATTTGTGCTTTTTTAAATATTGCTTTAGAGTCTGCTGGAGAAAAAATTGATTGAAATACGTAGTAGTTTGGGATATAGCATTTTCCAAGTCTTCTAGAGAAAAAAATGGAAAGAGGAAAAAAGAGCACATAGGAAGTTTTGAGTAAAGCTTAGAATGAAAAAATGGAAAGATTGTGTAGGCAAGCCTATATTCTTCTCTGCATAGCTGTACACTAGAACTTTGTGTTGTAGATTACTTGTGGTGTATGTCTATAGTTTTGGAAAGTTATACCTTTTAATATAATGGCTCTTTGAGAGTTTTTACAACTTTGTACGTGCCTGATCTGGTTGGTTGATTACATTCTTTAACAGGATATTATGAAGAACCGGAGCATTAAGGATGCACTTGTGGCCGAGGAGGAGTTCTTTCGTAGTCGTCCAGTATGACTGCACTGTCTTTGAGTAGTAGTTGATGTCCGAGTCTTGTACTAAGTCATATAAGTGATCATATATCTTCTGCTGTTAATATAGGTGTACAATGATCTTGCTGATCGTTGTGGAGTCCCCCAGTTGGCAAAGAAGTTGAACCAGGTAGGGATTTGTGAGACTGATTGTGATGTTTGTTCGTTATTACTTTCTACAGTTTAAAAACAGATGCTTTTGCATGTGTATTACTTGGTTGGATAATTCATCTTGCTTGGATGGACTCTTCCAACACTGTACACGCAAAAGGATGTACCCACACGCACAAAAATGAAAAAGAAAGGAAAAATGTTTCAAATACATACAAATGTTTTTTTGTTCTTTTTCCATCCTCTTAGATCAGTTTGGCTTTTTCATGTTAATGTGAAATCTTATAAGCGAAGTGTCAAGTGGTCCATGGATCTTATGTAATCTACCTTCGTGCTTTGTGCAGATTCTGATACGGCATATTAAGACACTGCTTCCAGGGTTGAAGTCTCGCATTAGCACTGCATTGGTTTCTGTTGCTAAAGAGCATGCTAGTTATGGGGAAGTCACAGAATCAAAGGCATGTTCGATTTTGCTTATCCCAATTGTCTGTATGGTATGCTAAAAAACATTGAAGAATTGGTTGGCAGATAGTTTTCTGTCATGTGGTTTTGGGTTCTGCTGTATCTGTACGCATCTAAGAAAATGGAAAAAGTTCCAGAATAGTGTATAGTCTGTACATGGGCAAGGGAGTGGACTAAATTCTGCATGTAGTTTTTTTTTAATGGATGAAAAACAAATTGTTTAGAGTCTTGCAGTCATTTTTTCTGCCATGTGCATTTAGCAGAATGATATCTGCATAAACAGAGCAGGGCACTGAATTTTGCATTTATATCCCTGTGGTGATCCAGAGCCCAACATTATTAACAACATACTGGGCAGGTCTCAACACCACCCAGTTATGATTATGATTTAGATCATTTGAGGTTAAATTTGTTTCTGTTGGTAATGATTGCCAATTAGTCAGTTAGCACTTTCTTATTACTTTTGTATGCAGATTTACTGATGTGTTTTTGTTTCCAATAGGCTGGTCAGGGAGCTCTTCTACTGAACATTCTTTCGAAATATTCTGAAGGTAATGTGACTTATCCAACTGTTGTTATCCTTAGCTCTCTCTTGGAATCACAGAGATTGACCTTTTTGCCCTCCCCTAAATTTTTTTAATGCTGGAGCATATTGATAGTGCCATCAATTCCTTTTTGGAAACAGCTTTCTCTTCAATGATAGAGGGAAAAAATGAGGAAATGTCAACTTCTGAATTGTCTGGTGGAGCAAGAATTCATTATATCTTCCAGAATATATTTGTGAAGAGTCTGGAGGTGTGTTTTTGATATCAATTTTTCTTGAACAAGTCTTGTGAGGTTCTGGATTGTAGGTTCTTTTTCTAATTACTTTTTTTCCTTGTTCGAGTCAAATGTGAATGCCTTTGTCTTTAGGCACTCATTACTTTATGTACATCTTTCTTTCCCAGCACTTTTGCATTGGATATCTCTATTAAGTTTGTAGTTATCCCATAACTTTCATGTGGATACTAAAAAGAAGGGGAAGAGGACAAGTGATGTAATATCTCTTTTTGACTGTTCCACACTAAAAGTGGCTGTAAGATCCAGTAGTCTCTTATCTTTTACAGTCTTTGCTCAGATGAATGGAGAAAAATGTTATAAAGAAAATGATTTTCTTTTTGACACAGTTTTACCTAAAATAACAGTTATCATGACATAACAAGTTGAAATGTGTTTCTAAAAGTTTTTATTCCTGTTTGGCCATACAAGAATAGCATGGATGAGCTAGCTGCCTCCTTAAGGTTTTATGATTGTCATAAATCTCGTTTTGGGTAATTGGAGACGGTGCTGTGCTTGAGGCTGTTTGATCCCTCACCGCTGATGAGATTTGGTCTCTCTTGCAGGAGGTGGACCCCTGTGAGGATTTAACGGATGATGACATCCGTACAGCCATTCAGAATGCAACTGGTCCTAAATCGGCTTTATTTGTTCCTGAAGTAGGTCTTACTCAGCTTTTTTCTCCTTTCTTCAGAGACATTTCTCCTCTTTGAAAAAATCAAATACGTTTCCCAGTGTTCATCTTTATTTATTATATTATCCACCACCATATCTGCTTTCAACTTGCATGATTTTATTGTAATCTTGGAATATGTAGGTTCCATTTGAACTTCTTGTTCGAAGACAAATAGCTCGATTGTTAGACCCAAGTCTTCAGTGTGCTAGATTTATTTACGATGAGTTAATAAAGGTGTGGAAATTCCTAATAATTTTTTTGTCCTTTTAAGGTGCAGACTTTAAGGAGCATTATTATCCACATGTAGACAGTAATGGAAATTCTTTTTTCCCTTTCTCCCCCCAGATGAGCCATCGCTGTATGGTCAATGAACTGCAGCGGTTTCCTGTTCTAAGAAAGCGCATGGATGAAGTTATAGGGAACTTTCTGCGGGAAGGCCTCCAACCTTCAGAGACAATGATTGGGCACATAATTGAAATGGAGGTATGCTGAAAAAACTGGGATTTTCTAAATTGTGCTCCTTCCAACTCCTTGTATTGCTTGTGCAATATTTTCATTAGGCCTTTGATAAAATAATCTAGTGCTTTGCTTCAATTACCTTGTAATGATATTGTTGGAACTTATTTTACTGGAATTTGGACAGAAATTATGATGATGCAATCAATAGTTTCTTCGATAAGCATTGTGACAATCAATGATTTCTTTTGCCAACAAGTTGTGGTCAATTTAACCGTTATGGATTTTTAAAAACAATAACCTTGCACGAGAAAAATTCTTGCTACATATCTGTATTACAGGTAGTTCTAGTCTTTGTATACGTGTTTGGTTTGGCTCGTAGGATTCCCTATTCCAACGTATTTTCCTTCTTGTTTTTCATGTTTGTTGGCTCTGCTCAGTGGCCAACTATCTCAGTAAGCATGTAAATTTGACACTGGTTCTGCTCAAAGTGGGTGGGTGCAAAACAATTATATATTTGTGTGATTAAGAGACCTGTCTGGATCAGAATTGAGCTTTTAAAATCCTTGCCATTTTCTTAGTTTAGAGCTTGAATATCATAAGGTCAGGCTGGGCTAAACACCGGCTCCTTAAGATCTTACATGCAGGTTTTGGCCTTGCCTGGCAATTTGCCACTTCTGTGCGTATGGATTGTAGTGATGGTTCATTATTATAGGTTTGTTGGCTTTCTTTTTCTTTCTTTCTTATTCCTTTTCCTTTTTTCCGTACGTGTGAACTTGCTCACTTTTCCTTGGTGGGTCCTTTCTTTTTGCTAGTATGTTAATTTTTTGTATTTTATATGCCGAAAACAATGTCATATTGTGTTAATTCTAGCCATTTTACTTGAAAGCCCAATCTTTCCCAGAGACTTTGTTTAATAAAACCCTTTCAGCATTCTTTTATTTGTTAATGCGTGCTTGTTGTCTTAAAAGTTACTGGTGCTCCCAATAAGGTTTGATTGCTGCAATTGACTTAATTCTTTTTCACAGATGGATTACATAAACACTTCACACACAAAATTTATTGGTGGGAGTAAAGCTGTGGAGATGGCCTTGCAACAGGTGAAGTCCTCTAGGGTAGCTGCACCCATTCCAAGGCAGAAGGTATATTTGCACTGTGCTTTTGTATGATTTGCTTCTCTACTCATTTTTTCAAAATCTTTACTTATATATATATATATATATATATATATATTATTATATTGATTTGTTTTATGTTAATCAGGATTCATTAGATTCAGAAAAAGCACCTACATCTGAAAGTCGTCTTAAATCTCGGGCTATTCTTGCCAGACCCGTGAATGGAGTAGTTCCTGAGCAGGTACGGCTATTTGTTGGTCTCTCACGTTAATGGGGTGAGTTTTCTATCGACACTAGATATTAGTTTGAATGGTGTCTTTTACTACTCCCATAGGTGCAGGGCCCAAGTCCTAATGCGATGTAGGCACTTGTATAATGGTAATTCATCAAAAGAAAACAGTCACAGTCAAACTTGTGCTAATACTGTACCTCTTGCTAAGGTGTTATCAATGTTAAGAGACTTAGAGAATTGAAAATTCCGCTATAGTTTATCTCTATTGAAATTTGTTTTTTTTTTGTTGTTATTTTGTCTTCATTGGATGATTCATAGGGGGTTCGGCCTGTTGTAGATATTGAGAGATCAGCATCATCTGGTAAGCTCTTGGGAAAATGTCTAATGCTATATATATATATATATTGTTTCTGTCATGTTGTTCCTCATGAACTGGTATGTGAATTCTGTTTTTATTGTTAATTATTCGGTAACATGATCTACAGTCAGGTAGTCAAGTACCAGAACTTATGGTAACTGATTTTTGTTGCATACAATTTTGTCATTGCCATTGCTTCCCCGAGGCATGATTTCTGGCACAACCATTGTGCAATACATTAATTTTGCAATGATCTTTGGTTAATCAGGAAGCACTACTGGGTCAGCTTGGGGAATTTCATCAATTTTTGGTGGGTCTGACAACCGCATGTCTGCCAAAGAGAACTCAACAAGCAGGCCATTCAGTGAACCTGTTCAGAGCATTGAGCACGCAGTCTCTATGATCCATTTAAGAGAGGTATGCGAATGAGCTCTTTTTCCAGACTCCTGTCTGATTTAGCTGTTGAGATCATATCTGCTTATATTACTCTAACTAAATTCTGTTTGATTTTTGTTGAAGCCCCCAAGCATCTTGAGGCCTTCAGAAACCCATTCAGATCAGGAGGCTATTGAAATTACTGTGACAAAGCTGCTGTTGAGGTCATATTATGACATTGTTAGGAAGAACATTGAGGATTCTGTACCTAAAGCAATTATGCACTTCCTGGTAATTGTTATATGTCTATGGACATTGTTTTTCAATTCAATTTTCCCTTTTTGGTTCAACATATGAACTTAAATTGTGGTCAGCCATCCATTAGCTAGGGACATAATTGCTATAATTATTGGCAGGAACGATACTTATCAAATTGTAAATGTTTTCATAATGACAAATCTAACAAGTTAAAAAATACTTTTTTTTTATTATGAGCCTAACAATCAAGTTCAAAATTCTAAATACCACGTAACAAGATAGAGATGAATGTGGAAAGATCACATACCTCAAACCGATCAATTAAAACCTATTATTTTAGAGTTTTCTGGGGAAGTATTTAATGAAAGTCAATTCGTGTGTGAGGATTTCTTTATGGTTAAGTGAGTGTACTGGTGCCTTACAATTCTAGTCTTCCATGTTGAAATACTAAACATTGAAAATTCAGCTGTCCTGTGTTTTTTTTGGGGCTTTCCTGTAATGGTTTATTTCTGTGTGAATAAACTCTCAGGCTGTTAGCCTTTTCAATTGATGCAAGTGTGCAACATTTGTATGAACGCATTGCTAATCAGTTTCAATAATTATCAGGTAAACCACACTAAACGAGAGCTGCACAATGTCTTCATCAAAAAGCTTTACAGGTAAGAGAGGAGCAAGGGCTCAACTTTTACTTTTGCTGGATATCCATAATCAATGTAAATAGTGATTCATTTGTGTTTATCGTATGATCTGCACAGAGACAACTTGTTCGAAGAGATGTTGCAGGAACCGGATGAAGTGTCAATGAAGAGAAAGCGTACCCGGGAGACACTCCGTGTTCTACAGCAGGCTTTCCGGGTGGGTCTTGATTCCTTCATTTCATCCAAAGGTGTTAGGTAGTGATTGTCCTGTGTTGCCAGATTTGTGTTGGGCTCGATTGGATATTGTTGTCTTCTCCTTCCATGAATTTCAAGAAGGGAAGTGGATAAGCAGCTCACCAGCTATATTCTTCTGGACTGAGTAATATGTTGGTGCTTGAGCATCTGCTCATGATTATTAGTGTCGACAGAAGATGGTGCTTTTTTGACCAATATTCGAATTTAGTTAGTATACTTTTGCCAAGGTTCCAATTTCTTAAAGCTGGGGCTCAATAGCGCATGCAAGCAGTTATATGAATTTGTAGATTGTTTTACCTAATTGATCGACATATTTTACTTTTTTGTAGACATTGGACGAATTACCACTTGAAGCTGAGACAGTCGAGAGGGGTTACAGCTTGAGTAATGATCCAACTGGCCTGCCGAAGATCCATGGACTTCCTACATCATCTTTGTATTCTACAAGCAGTGGTTCAACTGAATCATACACAGCTTCTCCTAAGAACCCAAAGGCTCGCAAGTCCTCTCATTCTGGAGAGCTACACTCACCATTCTATGCTAACTCAGATTCCAATGGAGCTGGACGCAATTCCTTTCTAGGTCTCTATCCCACAGTTGATGTGTAATCCGTTGGCAAAGAATGAACTGGACGAAACCTGTCAGTGCATTATCGTCCATTGATTACTGTCTATCCTGCAATCTCAGAAGATCCCAGGAATCCTGCCTGCTGTATCTAGCTAGCTCGGTGGGGTAACAATATTCTTTTATCATAGCCAGTCATTTTGACTATAGTTTTGCTTAATCCATTGCTCGTAGTTTCCTTCCATTATGGTTGGTTATATATGTATTGTTTTTGGAAAGTTCCGAAAAGAATAACAGTAACAATTGACAATTGGCTGTTCTGACTCCGTATATTTTTCTCCCCAATTTCTTTCCCGTAATTTGTTGCATCTTGAAACTGTGGACAGCAAGTACTGCAGTGTTAAAACCCAATTATAAACATGTACTGAAAGCTAGTGTACAGTTTACATATGTTTTATGGATCTATGTAATTGTATCCAGTATGTCATTTGGGGGTGAACATACCAGGATGGTTTTAGTTTTTTAATTCAACGAATGATTTGACACGAGGATGGAACTTTGTCCAGCGGTAAAGTTGTTCTATTAAGTTTGGCTAAAGCTGTAAATATTTGATGGTCTATGAATTTTGGGGAGTTTATTCTTTTTTTATGAAATATATGTTGTTGTATCAATCTCTCTCGCTTTCTATCTTTTCACCTTTTTCATCATTTCAAACGGACCATTACAGAAAGCCAAGCAAAGAAATCTCCTCTATTTATACAGTGAACACCTCTAACTGATTCCTACTGGGAAAAATTCAAGGAATAGCTGAAGTAATCTCAACATGGGCAGAGGGAGAGGCTTGGATCCTTTCGGTATTAATATTATTTTGTCAATGTTTTGATCAATTTCAATTATTTATCGTTCGATATATTGGCTCCTATATCATGTTTGCGTGCAATATCAATGGAACCTATAATTTAGGGAGAATTACACTTAAGGCTCCTAAAATTTGTTATTTAATCACTCAAACTCCATAATATTTGAAATATTATATACAAAACCCCTGAAATTCAATCAAAAATAAAATTTTAATTTTTTCTTAAAAAATTATAATTAACATACAATTATACAATTACTAGTCCACAAATTTTAAAGAATCTGAGTATAATTTAATAACTGATATACTAACAAACATTGACAACAAGAGTTGAGTGTTACGCAATTACAAATTTCAAAGAATCCGAGTGATTAAATGACAAATTTTAAAAGGTATAAGTGTAGTTCTCCCAATAATTTATGGGCACTTGATTGAAATTGGACCCGACACAATTTAATTCAGAGTTCCAACATTTGGAAAGAGGAGGGGGGGGGGGGGGGTTGGCGTTGAAGTAATAGTGAGACTCAAAATTTGATTCCTTCTGAGAATCCTTTCTTTTTTTTTTTTTTTATTGGGGAGAAGGAGGGGGAGGGGGGACGGGGAAAGGGGAGAATACTTTCTCTCTGCTAGAATTTGTGAAGACAAAAAAAAGAAACTCAGAAAATATGGAAGAGGGGGCCACTTGAATCATGAACGTACATTTCTCCCAAAGATATCACCAAAAACCTATGGGCACTACATGTAACGAAGGAGAAAGCACATGAAAAAAACAGCGAAAACTGATAAAGACATATCTGTAGAAGATGCAAAAGATTATGTTCCAGCAACTCCTCATATACACAGTGATCGCCGCAGATTCCAAGTCTATGGTAACCACCTTCAAATCGAAATTGGGAGCTGTACGTTAAATACAGTATGGAATTAAGGGCAGTCGACTGTACTTAAGCCCCGAGCCAATCAGTCCCCAAATGAGAATCTACATCCACCTGTATATCCATGAACTATAGGAATTAACTTGAAGCTCCTAAAGACAAATGAAATTACATAATCTATAAAAGACAATACCTGCTCATCAAAACCAACAGGAATCTCGAATTCTGTCCCTGAAGCATTTGCAAGCTCATCTAGAGTTTCCTGCTAGTCCAAACACTTGTTAGATGCAATTTTGAAGGTCCACACTCAAAACATTGAGTTCTTAAGCCGGGTTCAAGGATCAAGTAGGTTTTAGCATGATTAATTCCCTGGCATAATGCTAAACTACCAAACTAACTACTACAATGTTGTTTGGTTCAAATCATTCTGTCTAAATAGTTATAAAAAATAAGTCCCTATCATAAAAGTAAATTACTAAAACCCTTTCAATTTTTTTTTTTTTTTTGAGAAAATAATCTAAGCATTGGAACTGATAATAGACACTTTATCCCCTCCATGTTGCTCCAGCACCATTGATTAGAAGCATCATCACCAATTACATAATTTTGTACACTTGTCGACATCCTCTGGAACAAATCTGGATCAGTATTTAAAATGGTGACTAGATTCATTGCCTTCCTTGCTTCCCGGAACATTGTTCAAGCTCAGCAAAGTGAATTTATTTTAATTTTAGGCTTTACCTGATAACTTGACCCTTTGGTGCAACGGTGAATAAAGGGAATCTTATAACTTCACATCTAAGGAAAGATTTGGAGATATTTTCTATGTCCAAATCATCCATAAGCAAACAATCCTCTATTTAGTCTTTTTATTTTTGCTTTGAAAATACCTGCTTAGCCTGCCTAATTGAAGAATTTGCAGAATCCATCAATAAGGGCAAAGGCTTTGTCTCTTCTGGGCTACCCTATTCAGTTGCATAAAGGGAAGTTCAATCAGTCAAAGCACAACAAAGCGTAGGTGCGCTGTACTTCAAAATTTGAACTACTTTTTACGTCAACACAGAAGTATAGCACAAAAGCCAATCCATTTCTTCAAAGACATTCAATTTCCCCATCCACCGGGTGGGAAAAACATGTTAACCAACTAGAAGACACACTGCTAGCTTGGGGTTTAGAAATCAATATGTCCCCTTATTCCCTAGGTAAATTCCTCATAAGGTTCTCAAGCACCTCAGGTAACCTAATATTAATATGCTGCACCAATTGTGCTATATTTCACCAAAAGATTCACAATCTCCATGTTGGCATTTAGGACTCCTAGGAATTTTTTCTATCATCTGCATAGTAAGCAACTCAGAAATACTTACCTCCTCGTCCTGGTTATGATAGGAATTTTCAGGCTCCAAGGTTGAAGGCTTGATATCTGGGGTGTCCTGTTAATTTCAAGAACACCATGATGAAGTCAATTAGTCCAACAATTAATCCTAACAAGCTATTTGAATCGACTGAATCTACCAACAGTGAACCAGCACTAAAAAATTATGCGGCGTCAAAGGCAACAGGCAATGCCAAAAACGGAAGCCCTCTATTACGCCACTACATCGATTAGCCATTGCTCTATCAAGCTAAATTTAAGCACGAAAATATTTTGCTTAAATAAAAAATAGTCTTTATTGAACGGAACAAGTATATACTACTCAAAATACATACCGGTTCACTTTGGTCAAAAGAAATATTCCTTCCCCCTTTCGTAAGATCTCTCAAAGTTCCCTTGAAAGATATTGCATTATAAGAACAGGTAAATAAAATAAAAGCTGTAAATAACATCATCTTGACATCTGCTAATGATGGATATCGGTATATGTAAACATAATTCAGACCATCAATGCTACGCACGTAATCACAACAATGAAAGCATGATTAGGCTATAGATACAAAGAGACATTTTTGTACCAAGTTCAGTTCAGATACACAACTAGGAGATTTCTGATTCATACACACAAAACGTGTCCTCCACAAATTTAGAAGGCACAAATACACACAGAAAAAAAAAAATTAACACAAATGAAAGGATTGACACAACCCTAAAAACATGGGTTGAACAGCAGAAACATGAATCATGAGAGGAACCACAAAAGATTATCATTCTCACTCTAAGCTGCACTAGAATTGGTATGAGTTGCTAACGGTGAAGACTATAACAGAGGATTCAACAGTGTAAAACTCCAAAACACTATAGACATACTATTCTTGTGCTGCATGAAGTCATTTGAAGGGCAACCCAACATGTACTAAGAATAATTCCACAAGTTCTGTTAAAGCTTAGCAAATATCACATCTGGAACTCTAGGCTAAAGAATTAGATTGTGCCATCTCTAAACATGAAGAGCAAATAATTAAACTCAACAAAACTTGTCCCAATAACTTAGGGTCCGCTAAATGAATATCAAGAAGGCTGGATGGGGATCCTGAACCTTCATCAGGGTCTGCTCAGGTTCAGCCAATTGTGATGAACAAAGAATCATTTCCTTCTTAATTCATCATGTAAAACCTAACGAGGAATCGAATGGCATCATCGTGGTTGTCTTCCCATCTTGCATCAATCGGGCTGGAAACACGCTGTGCATATTGAGGGAAAATTTATATGATTAACCTCAAAATTGTCTTCTAATCAGGATAAGGCTAAGGTCTGAAAAGCCCAAATTGCAAAAATTGTTCTGGTAACAAAAATCTGTCACACCATGCAGGACTAATATAATAAACAGTTCTGCAAGCACTACCCACCACTGTAAGAGAAGTACTCCCAAGACGAACTCTTTGAAATCATACAACATTTGAAAAGGCTATCTCCGATTTACCATTCCATCCAAAACAGGCTGAACAATGTCAAAACTCAGACACTAATCTGCCATTAGACCAATTTTACCACGTCTCACCCCTCAAGAAGTTAACTTGTTCCCATTCTCTCATAAAATTGTTCTGCCACACTATCACAAAAGGGTCTGGTGAGCAAAACAACACAAGTAACCAAAGTGGCCTACTTGAAGAAGGAACATTAGTGTTTTTGCATGAAGGCGTGAAATTAAAGATTTTACAGGATCCACTTGTATTATTTCACTGTCATGGTCGGCCTCCCCCTCCACGCCAACAGGGAAGTCTTCCAAAAGCTTATGACGATAAAAGTTATCTTATGCTACCAAAGTGTCATGAGAATGACAATTAACAATACAAACAAGGTAATCAGATATGTCAACCCCCAAAAAAGAGACAAAAATATATACCTTGTTTGCCCACATAAGTCCACAGGCATTGCAGAGAGTTCTTGGACCTGCTGGTCCTCGACGCATTGCTGGAGTAGACTTTTCACTCACCCCACAGTGCTGGCATCTATGCAAAAACATCTAAATTAAAAACCAATAATATACATAATACATAAATAAGTAAATGGATAATCAGGAGATCAAAGCACGAGTAAAACCATCATTCACAATACAACAAGAGATACTAAATAATGATAAAAAAAAAAAAAAAATGAAACCGAGACACTACACTGCCAGCTATAGTATTGGTATAAGCTGCAAGTAAAAGTGCAGAGTCGGCATTAAACTCACGTGTATTCTGGTCGAGGAGTGCCATTGCCTGATTCCCGAATATTGCCACCCACTTTGTAAGACTCCTTTGAAGATGCAAATTGCCCATTTTTGCGATGCATCCTAGCAGATAAGCATTAAAAGAAAATGAAGACAACATGAAACTCTGGCATCATAGCAACCTTTTAGTTCAGAGGATAAGTAAAAATAATATGCTCCTTTCCAAACCAACAACCTCTGGAAAAGTGAAAAAGAAAATTATGATAAACAAAACAGGAACCGAGGCAATGACAACTAGCTTCTCCTGAGCAATGAGACCTAACAAAGAAAACAGGAAGCGACTTTACTCCTGCAGCTTGAAATCCAAACTTCAAATAAGATGATAACAACCCATTAAAATTATCAGCAGAACCTGGTAATATACACCTAGTCCTCCAAGTAAGTATATGCCTATCGTGATTAGCTCAAAAAGAACTCACAGGGACATCTAGACCCTTAATGAATAAATGTTACACTTGTTTTCAAAAAGGAACAGTAGCACAAAAATGATATTGCCAAATTAGCTTCGAGAATGCCCTAGGATGTACAGCTATCTGCAATTGAAGCAGCATTTTGATGCAAATAAAAAAAACTTCCAGATAGGGCCCCAAAACAGCCTAAAACATGGTCGAAGGCACCATCAGCCATGCAAGGTAGTGGTGGGCTCTCTCTCTCTCCCCCTCCCCCCTTTTCTTTTTTTGTTTTTGGTGAGATTGGGAAGGGCAGTCCTCGTGTGAAGCTGTGCAGCAACAGGGCTTCACAAATTTTATCTTTATGCTTAGAACATAGGAACAACATATTCCATCTAACAAAATTTGTAATCGATACCCTATGATTAAAAAACATTGTAAAATATAATTTTGCTCTATAAAAACCAAGAACATTTAATGCAGATAAAAGAATCTTTCACATGAATTCCTTAAATCCCATCAGACATTACATTCATCAGTAGAAAAGAAACAAAAAGGGTAACTAGACAGTAAACATAAGTCGTAAAATAGTTAAGTGACCATGCAATTTAAGTCATTGAGGCTGCACACCATGGTTAATACTATTGCTAACCAAATTTAAACATTGATTTGGTCATGTTTCAAATGAGTGCAGTAGCTAGGGAGATGAGGAGAGGGATTGACACAGGAATAAGCACACAACTTATAAAATTGAATTTACACTACCAAAAATAAATTCCAGAACCACGGCCAATCAAAATCCCATTTATTTGAGAAACTAGGCTTCTTTCAATATAGAGAAGTATGAGAAGCTAATAAGACAAATTGATATAATTTGCCCTCACCTCTGAGCAACCTCTTTTCTGCAAGAGTAGCGAATTTTCTTCTCAAAGCATCTCTCCTTCCGTTTCTCACGGAACCGAACCAGGGATGCAATCCTTCGAGAAAGATTTGATGGTCGTGAAGTGTCAGAATTATCTCCTACACTCTGGAGAACATTTCAAATAATAACATTAACTATCACAATATAGCAGCTTAATAAATTTCCAAGGCCAAGAAAAGGAACTTCAAGGCTACCTTGCTATTCTGTTGCAACAAAAATTCTGAGCTAGGTATGCTACTTTGTATTTCACGTCCTCCCAAAAGTAAGAGGACCGCCTGCACCTGTTTTTGCATATTCCAGTAAATCAAGTTTTACTTTATGAAAATATGCCCAACAAGCACACATGTTCAACCGCTCATTAAACAAATTAAGGGTATTCCACAGTCAGACTGCAATCAGCTGGGAAAAAAATTCACATGCTAGTGTCAAAAAAACAACATATAACATACCAAAGAAACACATTGGATAAAAAACAAAAGGTTATTGGCACTTTTCATCAAGCCAATGAGGGATGCTGAGAGGGTAGACCAGATAATAACCCCATACTTTGGCATTATTAACTAGAGTGATTGCCTAGAGACTTGAATTCATATTACCACACTTAACACAAGATTTTACCATTGCCCAAGCAAAGGTCCATGACAAACTTAATTGCAAATGACTAACATCCCATAACATAAGCCTAAAGTCGGGTCCTAGCCAAATAAAACAGTATGTCAGCAAAAATATAGGCAAACACATCCCATTCAGAAACAGAATGGAGCATTTCAAAATCGGACGATTCTTTCTTCTGATTATGGTTCAGCCATGCAATCAAAAGTAATGAAGCACATTAACACAGTTCATGCGTCAATATGATTTTTCTTTCTCATTCTCTGAATGTACCCATCTAAGCAATTCCAAGCATATAGATCATAAAATTGAAGAGACTTCCCTTATAAGAAGCAGTAAACAGGAAAAGGTAGAAGTGGTAACTTTAGGGACAACAAAAGATCAGGAGATTGAAAAGGGCCTCAGTGTGGTACTATAACCACTTATCAATCTACATAGAGAAAAATAGCTGGTTCCTAATATGTTGTATAAGCCTTTGAAAGAAGGCACTATTTTTTTTTTATGGGGGTTGGGGGGGGGAGAGTTTATTTGTAAGTTCAACAACTATGTTTTCCACTGTTTATTGCTTTGTGTATCATGTGTGACGCCTATTTAACAATTCTTTCATTTCCACTAAATACAAAACATAAGAAGGCTACCATGTGGAATATGTGGTAAATAAATCTCATCTTTCCACCTTATGTATGTCATTTGTGCACCGGGAATACAGCTTGACGTTACTGAGGAGATGAAGGGTTAAGTTCTGTACTTCTGTTAGTATGTTTCTGCATGTCCAGGCTTCATTAAACAGCTAGTTTCTCTGATTCTTATGTCTACTTCCTTGTGTAGCCCTTGCATGAAGCATATGTTTCTCATTTCTATAAACTAAAACTTTGACTAGGCAATCCATCATTTCTTTTTCCCCACCCCCCATTTTCTCCAACTCGCACATATTATCAGTCTCTTTTGATAGATTTTGCATGTAATCACGTGCAGGGTGAAACAGAGGTCATATTTTAGCATGTCATGAATGAGTACCTAAGAACACTAAGCAACCTCCTAATGAAGAGCGACCTTTTTCTTTGGGATATTCAAATTCTGGACATCAAGGGTTCACATGTTCCAGAAGGTCTGTGGCTGGTGGTATTCAAACTGAACTTCGAATCACACTAAACACCATTATGGCTTCACGTATGGGCATTCAGAACCTTAGGGTAGAACCTGACTCATTACATATGGTACAAGCCCCACCGAGAAACGCAGAATATGCTGGCTGCTGAGCTTCAGCAAAAATGCAAGAGACGAAATTATCCACTTATTTCATTCTGAAGGTGCCAACATATCCACCGACATACCTTACAAAGCACACCTACTCATGTGAATTGCACCGTTATATAAATTTCCAAGCTCACATAAAGCAAATTCTTAGTCATGTGACCAATATCCACCTTGTTTAACCTCTTTAAACTGAATGGGTCTGTTTGGCTTTGACTCCATGACTTCATATATAGGAGACCAATTCAAATCCTTAAATGACTAGAACCCAAAGGAATCCACATAAAACGTTAGAGAAACTAAAACAACACATAGGGGTTCACTTAAATTGAACCTATGTTCCTACCGTTGAACATCACTATAAGTACCCAGTCAGGTCTAAAAACAAACCACTAGAACTGATATTAAACAGACACCACCTCCAAAGAAAAAAAAATCTTATTCTAGTCAAAATCTCTTTTACAAACAACGGAAAATACCAAAAAATAACCCGAAGGGTCTGCTCAAATGGTACGACTTACTCTGGCTAGGTCCCCGTTTTGAGCCCTGGGGCCACCTACCCAAGCCCTACAATTTACCTGGGGCGTGTGGCTAGTGGGGTATTGCACGAGCCCCGGAGACTTTCTCCGTGGCTATGCAGGACGTTAAGTCGGGCAATAAACTGTTGAAGTTTCCTCCAGTCATCAAATATATATATATATATATATATATATATATATATATATATATATATATTCAAAGCTAATTACATTGATTCAATTGACATCGACATAATAGGAAGGAAGAAAACAATTAGCTACATACAAAATTAAACCTTTTCGGGTGTAACGGAGGGGAAGACGTAGACTTCGCCCTCGAACGAAATGGTGAGTTCACTCGTCCTGGAAGACAAAGGTACAACACTTGTGACATCGTTTATAGGGCTCACTTGAACCTCTTCAACACAATTCATCGTCTCATCGCAACCTCCTCCACTAAATTCATCAGCTTCAAATCCACCTCCATATTGATCCACTCGAATTGGTACATTCACATAATAAGCTTCATGTCCTTCATAAGGCCTCGGATTCACCGCATCCATAAACATCAAAACAATTTTCTCTCTCCCTCCCTCCCCAATTGGTGCTATATCTATATGGTTATATGTACATAAAAAATTGTGTATAATGGAACAGAATTGAAACAACAACCCTAATTCGACTGTCTGTCAGTGGAATCGCGCACCGATTATTCAAACCCTAACCACCCCTCAATCGAAGATAAAGAAATATATAAAATCGCATAAATTATGTGTGGGCGTGTGGGTGAATAATTAAAATAAAGGGTCTGAAAATGAATGAAAAAATTAGGTTAAAAATGGAAGGGACCATAGTTCATTTTAATTTTTTTTATTTAAAAATATCAATTTTTTTCCGCAACCCCCAATTCTAAAAAGCTCAACCAAGGCACTCTTATCAAACAATTTTATCGATGTATACTTACCTCTTTTTTTATTTTAATATTAAATTATATAATTAAAAAAATTAAATATTAATTAAAATATAAATATTATAAAATTAATCCTATTTTCAATATTTATTTATACTATCATAATTATTATAAATATTCAAAATTTATTCTCACACAAATGGATCTAAAGTAATTCTATCTCAAACTGATTCTTCGTTAAAAAAATATAAAAAATTTCAGGGGTGTGAATTGCGATGTGGGAAAGTATATGCTTTTTTTGGGAAAATTTGATTTTATCCTCTCACGTGGTTTATGAATTAAATTGCACATGTAAATGTAACACCATTAATGGTAATATTAACTGACGTTAATACATTTATCCTTTCATTTAGTGTCACTTTTTTTTTTTTATCAATACTTGAAAATCCATCAATGTTCTTACAATTTTTATTTGAAAACCATGTGTTTTGAATCAATTCATGCACTTCTTGAAATCAATATACAGATTTAGAAGAAAACCACCTATTCCACTCATTGGATCTTCGACGGGAGAGAGGAGGGTGGGTAATGCTAGGTGTGACCTTCAACAAGAAACCAAAAAAACAGGAAGGTTATGGTGTTAGGTGGTGGGTGGTGAGTGTTGACGGAAGAGTTGATGTCTGTAATCCAGAGAGAGATGATACATGAGTCATTGAGATTTAAGGGGTATATTTGTCTTGTGAATCTAGTTTTTTTAAAATCCACTCTCACAAAATGGTGCGTGAGAAACCATTTTCCAGTTAGATTTACCCACACAGTTTGTTCATGTGATTGACTAATAATATTTTGCATACTTTTTTGATCATTGATTAAAAGTTTATTTCGGTGTATTGTTTTAAACAACCGAAAAAACGAAAATATTTCGAGAACATATTGAAAAACGGATAAAAATTTTGATAATTTAATTTTAAAGTTTTCCAAGACATTGCTCAAATACACTGAAATTTTTTAAAACAACTCGATTCAATCATAGATTTGTTTCGATATTCTTAAAAACAGAAACGTTTCATCTATTTCGACTATTTTGAAACAAGATTCTGATAGTTGTTTCTAATTCACTGGCAGAGCATGAAGAAGCAATTCAAGTGTAGACAGCTCTACAGTGGAAGGAAAATGAATCCTCGGAAGATTTAGTCTATGAAGAGCTGCTTTAAGGTAGCAAATAGGTAGATTCCTACTGGAAGAGGCCAAACAAAAACATTCAGTCCAAGGTATAACAAGCTGCATCCTGAATTCCATGGATTCTTCATTATTAATAACAAAATCATCAATTCTACAAAATGTTGTTCCAATGTAGATTGCTATTATAAACAAGAAAAAGTACACAACCATACGTATCGATCGATGCATACAAACACAAACACGAGCAAGAATGTGAAGATATGCTATTGTCTCCTTGAGTTTTGTATGCCTAGTGTTTCATTCCCTGCTTGATTGCTGCTATAAGTATGGAAGAAAAAGAGAGCATCTCGAATCTAAGAAACATCAAAGGCTAAATCCATCAACTACGTGCACATGTGAAAGTGTGTCAACACCAATTCTAGGTCAATCAATATATACAACCCAACAGATTGCTGCTGAATCAAACTTCATACCCAGGATTTACTTTCTGTTGAACGTTCCCGTAACTCTCCAATTCTTCAATATCCTCTGAGCTCCCCAAAAACAATGGAAGCCTTTGGTGCATCTTAACCGGCTGAATAGATAAAATCCTATTTTTACCATCAGAACCCCTGCCCCCAGCTTGCTCCACAAGGAAACTGAGAGGGTTTGCCTCATAAACAAGACGGAGATGGTCCCTAGGATTCATTGCCACTCCACCGTACAAAAGAGTCCGATGGAAATCAGCAACAAGAGAACATATATAACGTGCTGAGTACTTCTTGGGGTACTTGCCTTTGCCTTGTCTCACTGTGTCAATATATTGCCTCAAACCTTTGGGCCAATCAAAATACCTTGCATCATTTACCGAGTAGATTTGCCCTGTTATTACAGAGCAGCAACATAATAAGATCACAAGAAATCCAAACCGACTCCCCATAATGTCATCATTTTGTAGACACCTCAGTATATAAAATATGAGATAATACTACAATGCCAAAAAATTTGCATCGTAATTTCTTTGGAATCATAACCAAGTTTAACAGTAGAGATCTGTCATCCAAAAACAAATCTATTTTGGCCATCATAACCTATCTATGTTGGCTTACATTCTGAATGACCTGTAAAAGGGCCCGTTTTATCAAGATTTATTAATTTGGTTCCCATATTGAAATTACCATTCAATTTGTACTGGTCTTTTTATATGCCACTATGTTTTGTATTAACAGCTGAATACGTTACCTCGAGAAGGAATTTTAATGCTTGGATGGGTGAGAATAAAATCTCCAGTTGAGCGATCCAGCGTGAATGCATGTGCCCCTGCACCAAAGCTAGTGCAGAGTATTGTGGCAGACGAATAAAGAACATAGGCAGCAGCAACCAGCCTAGTTCCACTTTGAAGAGAATTCAGCATTGCCTTTTCCTCCACTGGCCGACGATCCAGTTCCACAAGGCGGTTATAGATCCCAAATATTGTTCCAGTGGGAATAGAGGCATCTATATTTCGTGAACCATCTAGCGGATCTGTGACCACCACAAATGGGCCATTATCAGTTATCCAGACAGGAGAATCATCTTCTTCTGAAGCCATAACAGCAACTTTTCCAGAATTTCGCAAAGAAGACAAAATGATCTCATTCTGCACAATATACTATGGCCAATCAGCTAAAGCTAAATCTTATTCAATAATTATAATTGCTGGGGTTCCAAGGACTTTTGAAAAGGGACCTATATCACGGTAGGAGATGAGAGTGCTGCTAAATTTATGAGTTTGAAACCACAGGCAGCTATCTCATTAAAACCAAGCAATAGTCATTTCACTGAACAGGTGACTCGGTCATACAAGTCTGGCAACTCAACTGAAGAATTATGCCCCACAGTAACTATAGATGACCAAAAACCTTAATAGAAGCCCCAGACAGCAGGTCATGGTCCCACTGCAGCCCCACATAGTTAACAAGGGGTAAGATTAAGTCTTGGCTGGTTCATAATTGGGTCAGGAAAGATTATGGAAGGAGATGCCACTCTGAGTAGCTATATCAATATAAACACCATGTAATTAGATTAAAAAAAAAAAGAAAGAACGAATGTATGAAAGACAATAAGCACCAATTTGCTTTAAGAGAACCTGGCTTACCAAACAGAAGGACTTCTCGTAAATAACTCCACAGAAAAACCTTCAAATAAGGATAGGGTAGGCTGAATGAAGAACAAAATCCTCACAGGTAGTTGGTGAGAACTAACTAAAATGCTCAGAAGAAACCCTAATTATAGATGATCAGTTTTTGTTTACTAAGCAATGTGGGTCTTCTTTGAAAATGAACATACATACTCACCGGGCAGACATATGTCATTGGTCCTTATTATATAGTATATACCTTACATCTAGACACAAAAAAATCCAACGTTAATCAATGTTTTGTTGGTTTCCAAAATTCTTTCTCAGAAAGAATTTTTTTATCATTTAACTAGTCCACATGCTTAAAAGGACAACCATTGCCAGAATAAATTTTCAGATGGCTACCAATCCCTTATTGAGACTGATTCTGTAGTCCAACAAACTAGGAGCATAAGGTTTCCCTCCGAGGTCTACAAAATTTAAATTCAAGTCATAGAAGATCCAATCCCACGTTTACGCCCTAACATGGTATGCTGATTTAGCTGAATAAAACTGTAATACAGATAAACTGAATTAAGAACAACCTGCTAAAACATTTGATTAGTACTATGGCCTGTCAACTTCACTTATAGTCACCTGGTTTATGAACGAGAAGCCTTTGATAAAATAAACATTCAGGTTGTACTTGCTTCAAATAAATCATAGCTCATATTCTACTGTTCATTGATGCTATAAGCAACAATGATACATCCCACAGTCAAGGGCGGATCTACTAGTGGGCTAAGGTGGGCTGAAGCCCAGAGTAAAAAAAAAAAAAAAAAATTTACCACCAAGTACCAGCCCACCCCCACCCAAAAAACAATTCCATCCAACCCAGCCCACCTGCAAAGCTTCTCCAAAATCAGTCGGTCTCTCAGTCACTTCCCCCAAAATCAGCGGTCTCTCTCTATTTCTTCATTACGGCTCTCTTCCTCTTCTTCTCTATTGGCCTCCTTGTCGTTGTCATTGAATTCTCTCCAATCGGGTCTTCCACCCAATAAAAAATTACGCAAGAAAGCTTTCTCTATTGCCGATTCCTCTTGTGCTCAGTGCTCCTGTTGATTTTGTTCCACGTGTTGCCTTCAGACCTCGCAAGCAATTACATTCGTTCAAGGTAAATATTTTAGCCTTTTTTTGGAATTTTGTTGCCTTAAGATTACTACCTGTTTGGTGGCGGAGTAAACGAAGGGAAACGCCAATTTTGGGATTTGCATTATGTGTTTTTGTTACTTTGAGTTTGATATTCGAATGGGAAGGTCAATTCTACTGGACTAATTAGTTGGATTTATCGCAGCTGAGTGGAGGGTTTTGTTTTCTCAAGTCCCTAGTTATGGGAAATTAAAAGTTTTATAAATTTAACTACTTAAATATAGTGCTAGCATGCAAGAGGGTTTTATAGGGTGTTCTATCCCTCCTAATTGAAATTATGGACCACCCATTTTTTCAGAATTGCTGAGTTATGCCCATATAGTTCAGTTGGATGTTTTTGTATGTAGTTTTGAGTTAAAAAAATATGGATGAAAGTTTGAGATGTTTTGTTATTAATTTGCTGTTAGAGAAAACCAAAGAGGCCTTACTTTGGTTGGGCAAAGTCTAGCTGAATTGTACATGATTTTCGGTTGCAGGAAATGAAAATCTGTGACCCATCTGGTGGAATGTTTTGTTTTCTTTGCAAATACTGTTTTAGGGGATTTAATAACAATGTGTGTTTAATAAGAATTGCTTCCCAACTATACTCTTGCTTGTCAAGCTTGATGATTTCTCAAATATTGACAGAATTAAACCAAAAAAAAGAAAAAATGAAAGAACTGTACCATTCTGAATCCCTTATGAGTTATGAGCATGGCCTTGATTTTACCTTGGGTCAAATATCGGCTTGTCCAGTTTCCTGGTTTTGCAAATAGGGCTCATGAAATTCAATTTAATATATGTTTTGTTGGATCTTCTTAATTTTCTATACATTCAAGATTAGCTTATGATTGGTGCATTTGGTTTTTTCTTGCAACTATTCATTCTTAGATGTTGATTCATATGGCTTTCTTGTAACAATTTAAAACGTAAACATGCTTTGGACCACGATCTGAGTGGTGAATTAGGCTGTTTTTCTTCTGTTTGGTTTTTTCTTTGGTTGCCCTGTTGTATATTTTGTATGTAATTGCGTGGGCTTTCTCTGGCACTCTTAAATTCTTACTTATCTGGCACTCTAGGAAGAAAAGAGGTGGAAGAAGAGAAAACTAATATGGCTGCCATGCTCTTCACTCTCACATGCACTCAGTCTCTAAACTCGTGCAATCTATTCTGATGCATTGATATACTTCCTGTCATGGAGTATTAGCTGATCAAAAGAATATATGTGAATTTTATGATAGTACCACAAATTTTTAATAAACTGAAAGCATGACAATATGTCAATTACATCTTTTCTTAAGGTTAGTTATGTTTCTTTGTTGGATGCTTCACTTCAGGTACATGCAACTGTTGCTGAAACTAACCAGCCAAAATGGTGGGAAAAAAATGCAGGACCAAATATGATAGATATTCATTCTACACAAGAATTTTTGAGTTGTCTGAGTCAGGCTGGAGATAGACTGGTTATTGTTGAATTTTATGGAACATGGTGTGCTTCTTGCCGAGCATTATTTCCCAAGGTAATTTTATGTTACTTGTCCATCTAAAATTTTCTGCTTTTTTGCTAGTATCCCCCACTTTATATGCTTGTGCTTGCCACTGTTGACAAAGTATGTTAACTACTGTATTAGCAACACCTGAAGCCTTCCATTTTTTGATAATGAATGAAGTTGTGAAAACTTAAAGCATGTAGAATCTATTTCATGCTTCCTTTCTGGACAATTGATCAGAGTACTTGTTGGAATTAATAGGCTGGGTGTGAAAATTTGAACTAGTGTAGTCTCAATAATTAGTTGAACTCCATCGGTATATGGTTGAAAATTATGAGTTTATATTTGTATTTTGTTAGTCGTATGAATGTTTAGCTTAGCCCGGGATAAACAAAAATCCTGGCTCCGCCCTTGCCCACAGTGCTAACATCCCAAATAACAACATATACACATTCTTCCAGAACTAGAAACCTCATAAAAACAAGGAACTCTTCCCTTCAATACAAAACCATAATCTTCCCCCGTTCAAAAGCCACATTAAACACAATATCAGAATTGCATTGAAAATAGTTCCACCGAAAATCACATACTACAAAGATGAAAATAAGTGAACAATCCTATACAGCAGCAACAGCTATCTGAACTGAATATAAAGCGGCAGTAAAACGCACCGAGACGATATCAAGTGGCTTTGGTTTGTCCCTGTCCGATGCTCCGCCACCACCGCCGCCGGCGACACCCACATTCTTGCTGAGGCTAGAATTGAAAGGAGAAGCAACAAGAGCAGCAATTCTCTTGCAAGCATACTCCAAGTGGCCAAACAAGACCACCAAGTCATCACTCACATTGGCCCCCCCCTTTCCCAAATATTCCATCAAAGTAACAAACCCATCGTCACAACCAACAGAACCAACACCAACACCCATTCGCGAACCGACCCTGATGCTGAACCCACCAAGAGAAGAGGAAGAAGTCATGATTGGTCGAGCTAGATTGGAATTTGGGTGGAAATCGGCTAGTTTTGACGGGAAATGGTGGGATTTTGGCGGGAAAATCCAGTTGGAACTGAAGGGTATGGTGGGGGATTGCATTCTAGCTTTTGGGAAATTTGGGGATGAAGTAAAACATTTGAAATGGATTAGGGTTTGATTTTTTTCTGGATGATAATCTTCTTTCCAAAGAGAAGCAAGGGTTGTTCGATCTTGGCGAAGATTGGGGTTGTTTGTCTCTGTTGTTGGAAGTTGGTGGAGGGAGTGAGTTGACTACAACAGAGGATGGGCCATGGGCCAATGAGTTTGGGCTTGATTCATAAGTTAAAAGTAGGGCTCCAAATTAACCAAAGACTCAACTTGAAACCCACTTTGGGCTTGCTTCATTATCTAAAGTAGGGCTCCACGAAGGTCTTAAGCATCTTTCCATGAGAAGGAAATAGTATATGGCCGTAAATCGACTTCTCAGCCTAGCTAAAGAAACTGAGGTAGCACACTATTCACGAGCATTGGCAGGTGCCAGCCAAGGACGCTAGTGCATACCCCTGGGTGATCATCATCACCTGTACCTCATATTTCGACACAGTGATCATCCACCCCATTTTCCATCAAAACAAACAGACCATTAGAGTGCTCCGGTTGATCCCCGAGCGTTTGAAGCCCAAGGAAAAGGGTCTAGGCATACTTTATTTATCTTTTCTTTGTTTGTTTTTAGACCGGTGTATGCAATTTTGAAGTGAGAGAATATTTGCATTCAATAGATACATCAACCAAGACAAGAGGATTCTGATTTCCACTACGAATACGAAAAAAAAAAAGATTAAGCAAAATTAATATCCTTAAGTTGGTACTAACATTCATTTGTCACTCTAGTTTTTAATACATTTTTCACGTATTTAACAGTAATTCAATATTGAATTTTCGAATTCAATATACTAAGGTAGTAACAAATAATGATAATTTTTTTTTATCTCATATTACTCCCAATTAATTTTCTATTCCACGTTACCTTAAGAAGTGTTTTGTTTCCTCCCAACGAGTTTTAAACTACGAACTCCTTTTTCCTTAATATGTCATGCCAACTTTTTTTTTTTGGAATAGAACATGCACAGAAGAAACACACACAACAATATATGTCATGTCAATTCTGTGAAATTGCAACATGTCCTTATTTAAATCAAAGATCAAAATTTTATTTTGGTGTATTATTTTAGTCATTTAGGAAATAGAATCGTTTCAACTCATTTTCAAGAATGGAATGAAAAAAAATAAAAAATGTAAGACTTATTTTTTTAAAACATTAGTTGAAATATAATAAAACAACTTGAAAGACTTTAAAATATTCTGAAATAATTGTGTAAATCAATTAAAATATAACAAAATATTTTAGAACAATTCGAAGTTTCAAAATTTTGATTTCATCATAATTCATTTTGATTTCTTTAAAAATAAAATCATTTTGATTATTTTAAATTTTGATCCTTCGTTCCAATCGACAATCATGAAGGGCCATGGGGACGTGGCCCCTCAACTCCCAAAACTGAGAAAGCCCTTGTTTTGACCAAAATGTCGGAGGATTTCATGTAAATAGTCCAGAAGGATGTTTTTTACTTTTTTGTTTTCCGCAAGCGTAGAAGGACGTTGATTTTACGATATAAGAGCAACGTCAAGAAGCTTTGTAAAAGCTCCATCTTAGCTATTTTAGTCAGTCCCTTCCAAAAAATTGTCCCGAACAAGCTTTTACTCTTGTAGTACATAATTGATTAAATTTATACAATGTATAATTTAATTATTATTTTTTAAATTTTATTATTAAAAATTAATTAAAGTTAATTAAAATGATTAGTTAAAATAGTTAACGTGGTTGGAGTGAATTTAAAGAAATGGTTAATTAAAATAGATAATTTAATATTTAAATATATTTTGAGTAATTATTTTAAATAACACTGTTGGAGTTGCTCTAAGGGCTGCTTTGTAAGGGGTATTTTTTTTTTTTGGGGAGTGACAAGATGAGTTTAAGAAAAATAATCCAAAACTCCTCCAAATTTCATATTTGTATAAAAAATTCAATCTCGAGTTTCTAAACTCAGCCCGTAGCTAGCTCGAAGATTAAACTCATGATCATAAGTTTCTTCAAACCTAAGAGAGAGCTGAGTTTGAGAAGATAGGTAAAGAGTTAAAGATCCAAAAAGACAATTGTATCCTTTAACATAAGTGTGAATTAAATTGATCAAAAGTAAAAAAAAATATTTATAAGACAAATAGTTATTAATAATTATATACATATATGGATCCTAAATATGTATATGTTACATATTAAACATGAGAATAGACCAAATTAAATATTGAATATCTTCTTCGTACAAAATTTGAGAAAAAATCAATTCAAACCCCTCTCCAAAATTCATCCAAACATCTGAGAACTATTTGAAAATTTATTCCATTGGGAGGAATCCAAGGTAGCATTTTCCCTTTCTTTTTTGTTTTTTTGCCAGATCCGAGGTTATAATTTTTTTTTTATATTAAAAAAAGAAAGAGTAGAAACAAAAGAGAACATCCAAAGACAATTCTAATAAACTCTTACCCATGAAATCATAAAAAGTTTAACCGTATTCATTACTCCTCTTGACACAAATTATGCTAAATTAATATAACAATTAACCACCAATTTCAGCGTACACTTTAAAATTCGAATCTCTAACCCCGAGAACTACCAAGACTGGGCTAGTTCTTGTCATGTGGACACCACCAATGGCCTCTGTACTGTCGAAGCAGGAAATTTGCAGGCTCCTTTAAAAAGGATACATGTTCACGACACAAATTCAATTCGATGGTTGGGAAGTAAACCCATTAAAACTCCCTTCATAAATAGCAACATGAATTCAACACCACACGAACTAAACAAACGACAACTATAAATAAATCTGGCATCAGTTCATCAAATTCTGAAACAAGAAAAATTAGATAGACCTGTAGACCTGACCTATTGATAGCCTTTGTCAAGATATTCTACCAGAAAAAGGCAGCCCGCAGTTGACTTTTTGGAAGCTCATCAATCCTGACCAACCTAATCATCCTCATTCTATCATGGGCACTAATGAATCCATTTTGATTCAAGGTACCCAATGCACATAGGCTGTAAAGATGAATCCATCCATATTCTCACCAAATACAAATATACTCAACCCTGCTCAACTATAATCATACTTCACAAAATAATGTTCCCGCCACTTTTTTACCAACTATATCACAAAGTGAACTCCATGTTGAAAACTATATCACAAAACTCACTGAAGAAATTATAGGTGTCCCATAATTTACAGCAGAGTTCAAGATCATGGAATTTATTGTTCAAAATACCAAAACAAGGACAAGTTTTGCTGCTTAAAAATTCATTGAGTGGATGAGAACCAATAGAGTGTGCAACAAAGGACAGGCTATAACACCCAAGCCTCAATGCAAATCCAAAAACAGAAATTGAAACATGCCTTTTTTCCTGAAGAGAAAACAATTGCTATACCTATAACATCTTAATCGACATCTATTTCAAAGCAAAAGAGGGTGACAAGGCAAATGGGGAGTAAGCAGCAAAATTACTAGTATTATACTCAAGAAGGAAACATAACCATATCTCTAACAAATGGAGAAGAGAGACAGACCAGAATAAGGCAAATATGAATCTTAGGTCAGAACTTTAGGGAAAAACTTAGATTTGTTGAGTTGAAGCTGTCAGTATGGTAGCTTTTGGAAACTAAATGCCAAAGCTTACAAATAAAATACTCCTTAAGTAAACGTTGCATGCCAGTGTTCACTGAAGTGAAATGAGAAGAGCAGGAAAGGAACAAACCCGAATGCAAAGCCAAAATATTATTCTTGCACCAACACCTTCAATGTGTCTCGATGAAGAAAGAAATGACTTTCCAACAGCAATGTCCATTCCTCCATGGAAACACTAATCCACTTGCAGCTTCAAGGATTAGTGCATATTTTTTGGATTTCACAAGAGTCCGAGCGTTACCAACTTGGTTCAACCTTAGATCTCCACGCCATGGGGAAAAATATAAATATGCATAGAAAACGCATGATACAAATGACATTCACCAATAATAAAGGCCATAAAGCAGCTTTACCATTTCTTCAAGGTGGCAATGAAAATGAATTCAAAACTCAGGAATGAAAATCCAATTCGAAGAGAAGAGAACAAAACAGTTATGCTTCCAGACAGAATTCCAATCCAATAAAAAAAAAACTAAATAGAAACATGAGATGTAGTCATATATGTTCAAAACTTGGTAAAAACAGGAACATGATCACAAATTAAATATAAAACCTTAAGCTAACATCAAAACCGCCTCATTTCTTCTTTGTCACCAAACACAAACCAACTCGTACTAGGATTTAGCATCATCATCATTAGTCGCCCTTCTTCCTAAAGGAACATCCCTCTGTAAGTCGGGCTTTCCCGCCAGTTGGCTGGCATAGTACTGTCTGGCAGTTCCCACAGACCACAACTGTTTGCGAGTGACTGAATACAGTGGTTCTGCATATATAGAATTTCATTCAAGTTAAATATTCCATTTAAGAGTAGTAATTCTCACAGTAAATAATGTGGCAACAAACTTAAATAAAAAACTTACATGTTGAAACAACCCTGGCACTTCACGTCCTACAAAAATATCAGATTAATCAGCAATTTTTTTTGAGTTTCAACATCAATTTCTTCCATCTAAAAGATGATCCGAAACAATAGTATACTATGTATCTCTGTCTACATATATCTATCCAATATTTTACCTAGAAAGTTAAATCTTCAATTTTGTAAAACGGTTCAGATTGATCCCAATTTTTACCCACTCAACCAACACACTATCCAATGGCAAATAGACCTACTAATCCACACCAACTTTTCTCTTCTCTACCTCCCTTATTTTCTCTTGCATAACTAAAAAATACAAATAAATAAATTGTGTAACTTGAAAACAAATTGCTATGTAAAATATAATGTTGCATAATAAATGTTAAATTTTAGTATTGCAAAGTGTCAGACACGGGAGTACCTACCATAGATAGAGTAGAGAGTCTGTATATATGGAGAAATAGAAAGACACGAGAATACCTACCATGAAAAAGGAGTTGGGAGACTGCACCAGGCGCTTGAGCTTGTGCTTCCTCTTCTCGAGCTCGGCAGGAGGATTCAGCAAATCAATATCGTTGGAGAGAACCTAATTCATTACCACAAAAGCAAAAAAAAAAAAGCCACAAAATATATAACAATAATCAGAAAATATCAACCAAATAACTTCAAGCGAAATCAGTTCGTACAATCCAAAGCTAAAGAACATGCGTTTGTCTTATGTAGACCGAAGGCTGAAATCAGATGGTGCAATTCAATGATAAAGAACACTGATTTGTGATTTTGCCTTATTTAAGCGGAAAATCATTGTCTTTCCTAATTATTGAAGCCAATACATGAACAAATATTATAAAAAGAAGAAGACAACGTAGAAATCAAAACCCAACAGCGACAGAGAGAGAGAGGCACCCTACAGCTAAGTACTAACAGAAAATTAAGAACCAGATTTCATACAAGAGCTAAAAAAATTTTGTGCAAGCAGAAAGCTATTTCTTGGGCTCGATTGTATCTTCCAACATTGGTGATCAAGATGGTCCTAAAATATGGTAAAAATAATGAAGAGGTAGCAATCAAAGAACATATTTTTATGTTTCTCGCTTCAGCTGTAGATCCAGATCTATCTATAATCACAGAAAGAGAGAACACAGAAGAGATAGAAGCTATTAAGCTCACCATTTTCAGCTCTCAATAAAGGCCCTTGGAGAAGAAGGAAAGCACAGCAAACCCTAGGAACTCTGCCGACTGTGAGAGAAAGAAAATTGCGATGTTTATATAAGCGTGTCCGGAGAAATATGGGCCGTCAGATCTTTGAAGGCGTCTTGATCTCAGCCTTTCTATTAGACCTTCGCGAGGTGTGTAAGGCACCAGTTGAGAGGAGAGGCCCATAAAAATAATGACCCGGGCTAAGTTTTGGGGCCCATAATCTGGTCTTCACTTCAAAAGGCCCGTTATTGCTCCTGATGGCCCATTGGGTTATAGTAATGGAATCGGACTGCATCATACACCCTTACATGAAGATTAACACGTCTGCACGAATCGGATTTATATCGAATTTTAGTTGATTTGAATTTGGTAAGTTTCAATCCAGTTCCAATTCGATCAAAAGAACTAAATTAAGTTGCATTTTAGCAAATTATACCTAATTTTTCAATACAATTTTATCACATGACCACTTAATTTCATTTTATAAAAAAATAAAAATAAATATATAATTCACATCGGATTATAAATATAAATATAATTATAATCAGTTCAGATATTAATATATCCAAACTAAATTCATTAAATATTGTGTAACCAATTGAGATTTAGATTTTGATTATTAGCAAAATTATCAATCCATATTTGATTAATTAATAAACACACTACTATTTTGAGTATTTAAGAAATTATCCCACTATAAGAGATGAACCATCCTCCAAAGCAAGCTTTGCCAGCTTTCTCCGGGTGCATTGACTCAGAAACAGCAACATTAATTCATGTAATGGATGTGAAAGAGCCAAGTCTCGAAGAACTTATAAAAAGCTTCAATCTCTAAACATATCTTCCTTGGTAGTTCATTAACCATCAACCACAAATAACAAAGCAAGCTCAGTTTCCATTGATTTAAAGATCATTGACATACAATCGCATTTTTCTTAACTTATTTCAGCTGCAAATTTACAATGGCAATCGAAATTAAGGGATCTTATGTAACAAGGGATCAGTAACGACTTGGGGCTCAAAATCTGGCTTCATATAATTAGCAAGCATCTCTGCATACAACTCATATCGAGCAGTCATTCGGAATCCCCACTTGTCCTTTAGTTGCCTACAGAGGTTGAGATCCATGTCTGATATCATTAACCCATCTTTGAAGCGGGATAGAGACGGTGTACATGATGCATCTGGTGCTGAAAAGTGGCTTGAACCATAGAAATGCCCAAAATCAGTATGTTGTGGCTTTCCATCTCCTGAAGTGAATGGATTGGGGAAGATCTCTGTCCCAACACGATTGATTGACCCAATAAAGTAACTATTTGCTATTGCAGCATTACGAGCCTGCAAAATCAACCATTACAGATGTCAATTCAATCCTGAAGATTGATAGAAACAGTTGAAATATACTGGTAGGTTCAGGGTTGTTATTAAACTACCAATGCGTAACACAAATGGCCAATGAACCAACTGGCAAGCATCAACTAGACCATTCTCCGAACCCCAGCATAATTGCTTACTAGATCATTAGTGAAATTGTTCTCTGATGGGTCATACAATGTCAGCTAACAGCTCTTCTTTTAATAACTATTCTTATGGATTATAGCTTGAACTAGAGTTCGATGCAAAAAACTTGAAGCATGAAAGGGCAGAAGATTTAAAACAGAGTAATCCGATACATTGGGGAAAATAAACTACACAAGGAACACACAGATTGGGGAAAGGAAAACCTCTATGGGCCACATAGGTTCGCTGAGTTCACCAACAGTAGCAGATGGATTGAAAACAATCTCAGCACCATTTAAGCCAAAAGCTAACCAGTTCAGAGGATGGTGCCTTCCATAACAAATGTTAACAGCAATCTTTCCAAAAGCTGTCTCAAACACGGGATGCCCAGTGTTTCCTTCCATATAGTATGTACTCTCATTGAAGTCCCCAACTCTAGGTATATGATTCTGCCAGATGCCATAATGATTATGTTTTCAACACGGCACATTGGAATACAGAGTATGCCAAAACTCAATTAGTAAGCCGTAGCATATACCTTCCGATGCTTGCCAAGTATATTACCATGATTTCCAATAATTACAGCGGTATTCCAGAGTGTCTCTCCATGCTTCACATCTCTCTCAAGAATTGGGCTTATTATAACCATGTTATATTTCAGTGCAAAATCCTGAATAAACTGTGTAGATTCTCCATCAACGGGCTCTGCAAATTCACACCATTTCTTCTCACGAGTACAAAATGCAAATGGCATCGTCCACGCCTCCTGTATTGGAATAATAGAATAGATACAATTGACACACTAGAAAGGGAAAATTAACCCATGAAGACTGCAACTTTCATGCTTTGACTTACTTGCAAGCATAATATATTGACTCCTGAAGTGCCTGCAGCATCAATGATTGGTGCCAATTTCTGAAAAATGGCCCTCTTCTGATCCAAAAATGGAGCAGTTGTTGGAAGAGAAATAGAGTTCTGAATAAGACCAACCCTGACTATTCGAGGTGCTCTCAACGACTCGTTGTCAGCACGAAAGCTAAATGCCTGCAAGGATAAACAAAGAAATGACATTTTAAACAATCTATACAAGAAAAAACAATGCTAACAAGATTTAGAAATCAGTAACAGTTTGATTTTCCTTTACTAAAATACTTGGGGATGAGCATTCAATTAACAAGCAGATAAAGTAATGCTCCAAATTCTCTGTTTGCTCAGCTTCCAGCAGAAGCTGTTACGAGGAAGAATATGTAAGCATGTCAGAGTTTTATAGATAAATTTTTTCACCCTTTGGGACAAAACCCTTTTCTGTAAGTAGTTAAGTACAACTATCTGGATGGTTTCTATACCTATTAATAGTACAAAGGTGTCATTTTTCCAATGTAATTGGATACCTGTCAACAAAAAGGAAATCTGATACAAGCTGTACAATAGATCAGCCAATTTTAGCATATTTCACTTTTGCTATTATATTCATGATCAACTGTTCTGATAAGGTGATATCTCTTGCTCTACCCTCAAGGAAAGGAAATGCGTAGGGCTCAGGTCCAACAAGAGATACTGGTGGGGGACTGTAACGAAAGGAGGAGGGGGCTCTCCACATTATATAGCTCGTGTCACTGAAACGAGAAAGAAATGTAGCAGTTTTTGACCTGGACAAGAAATTTTGCCCCATTGCAAAAACTGACTCTATTAACTGACCTCATCACATTTTTACGTTGGATGGGCTTCATATGGAATCAACTTTCATGGAAGGCCCTTTCTAAATCATTAAACATCCATACCTCAATTTGAATGATATATATTTGAGATGAATGATATATCTGAAGCATATATCTGTTCTTCACAATTTCTTAGCACTTACATGATAAATGGTAATTTCATTTTATTTTGTAAATATCAATCTAAGATTGATGTAGTAATCCATGGAACCACTCATCTGCTTCTCAGTGTTATTTGAGATAATATTGACCGACCATTTATGTGGCAGAACCAACATATATGCTAGTACATTGCTCAAACCCAAATGCCAACCATAAAACGAGGCAGACATGATATTTATGGACTTAGAAGTTGGTCATGACGATCATAACTTCTTTGTGAAGCTTGATTCCTCGAGGGATTGCAGAATAATAAGATCTGATAGAATGTTATCCAGAATAAACTCTCTTCAAATCCAATTTCATGAAGTCAAATGGCAATCGCCTACCTGAAGATCAAAATCATGTGTTGAAGATAGAGCTTTGGCAGGATCTGGGAGACTAACGGTTTCAAGTGGCCTTCCACAATTCATCCCGAGAAGCATGCGGCTAACTTCCTGCATCACATGAACTATATTATCACGATAATCTTGAACTTAATCAATAGAAGCTTCACAAACAATATTGGTTGTTCTAGATTTTGGTCAAAGATAAACTTCACCAACACAGTTGATTGTTGTTATTTGGTTAAAAAGGAAAGAAAAGGGACCACCACTGATGCTTCCTAGACTTCAACAATATATGAATATATAAAGATAGTCTATCTCGTTTTTCTCTTCTTCTTTGTGCTTCTATTTATTAAGAAAAGTGTTGGGGCAGTTAATGTCACCAAAACCCATGAAATGGAGAAAAATCCCTCTAGAGGTTGAGAGATTAGAACCCATGCCTTGGAAATAGAATTGATAACCATACCCGTTCAAATTTTAAACACGTTTTACCACGTTCTCAATGTTAGAGAACATATTTCTAGGCTACCAAAAGCACAATCAACCTCACATTGCAGATGTGTTAACATTTATGTCTCTGTGAGCAAATTAATTTATAAGTTACATAAAACTCAATAATGCTACCAGCAACCATAAAAAAAAACCATCCAAGGACAAATGAAATCAATTGGCCATCACTTTTCGATTTCATTACAAGCCCAGTTGATAAACACTATTCCACCATCTTCTGAACTACTTCCATATCAATTCAAGACTTTCAAGGATCAACGCACCCATTTCAAAAACTACCATCATTCGATCAAACTTGCGGTCTTCAAGCCAGACTCCATGTAGGGTAGCAGTATAACTCAAAATTTTGCAAACTAAAACTTTTTTTTTTTTTTGGTCGAAACAAACTAAAACTGAACTTACCAAAATTTCCATCTTGTTCCCAAAATCCTCTGGTGAATGAACTTTTTATTTTAATCAAAAATCTACCACTTAAATTGAACTTACCAAGTGCAAACATGGTCAACTAAACTCAAATATCAATAAAATCAATTTACCTCTATGTCAACAACTTACTACAAAACAATCTATATGACGTAGTATTGAAACCAAACACTGATCTTTGAACACACAAAATTGGGAGAATATAAAAATCAACAGAACAACAATGGTTAGATTTAAATTCGTTCACCTGAGAGTTCACAGCACGACAAAGTGTAGGAAATTGGATTAACAATTAGAGATGAAGAAAGTGACCTGGAAAAGTTGGGGACTGAGAGAAGATTGGAGGAGACGATGAAGAGATTCGAACCCACAAATCGAACCGTCGGAGAAGCCCTTTTTTGCCTCTGCGTCTCCGTTTTCTGTTACTATCTCCGCTTCTTCTCTCTCCATTTTCGCTGTTCGAGAGGAGGGAGGATCGAGTTGACTACGGTGAGGGAGTGAGTGAAAGAGAGAGAGAGAGAGAGGGGGGGAGAGGAGGGGGGGGGGGGGGTTGGACTATAAGATGGAGACAATCGCACTTTACACCCCAAAATATTTTAAAATTCTCAATTAATATCCTAAAAAAATAAAATTTTTATATTGTATCAACAATATTAAGGGTATTAAAAAATGATTCGACTTATTAATACAATACAAAATTAGAGAGTTTGAATTTTTCTTAAACCACCTGTTTTATAAAAATATGGATCCGACATGACATTATTAATAACCAAATCGGATATGAATAAAACTAATCAAAAAAATACACGATCCGACTCTTTTATATATTGGTTAAACACGATTCATACATTACACGAACTTGGTATGACACAACTCGCTAAACACAAATTAATAAACAAATCAAATATATATGCATTTTTTTGTGATATAAACTCGTTAAAACAAAACACGAACTCATCTAATTCGATACAATTGACAGGTCTACTTAATATGATAAAATAGATACAATGTCATCCTCACACTAACTTATGTTACTATAGTGTTTTTGTCAAATCTTACTCCATGTGACTAGGGATTCAACTCGGATGGGTTGAACAGGTTGAGAGGTCAACTCTAGATATATAATCTTCAATTTAACCTTAATCCTACCTTAATTCAAGGTACTCAACTCGAGTACTACCTAAATTGAATTTGAATTACTTAATTCGGGGTTGATTTTGGATTAAAAATCGAGTTGACTTGAGTTACTTAATTCAGGTTAATTTTTTAAAATATAGACTTGATTTTTTCAAGTAATCTGAAAATAAAGGACGAGGTGCAGATGAAGAGAAAATGAGGAATGATGTGTGAGAGAGGGAGGCCGAGAGACGAAGGAGTGATGAATGAGAGAAGGATTTGAGAGTGATGAAGACGCAAGGGTGAAAACTTAAATGAAGTGAAAATTTTGACTCTAAAGAGTGAAGATAAATATTAACCCTAATTAAATATATTTATATATTTACGTATATTCGGGTTCAACCCGATTTAATAATTTGGTTCAACCATTTTTTAATATTCAGGTTCAACTCTATTTTAATATTCGCGTTAAATCTTACAACTCGAGGTTTGCCCAAATTTAATTCGAATTAAATTTTTTTTGCCCAAGTCCAACCCAAGTATTAAAAATTTTAACACAAGTCTAATTTTTTTCGAGTTGAGTTCGGGTTGAAATCAAATTGGCTCGCTCAGGTTGCACCCCTACATGTGACACATGTGAATTTGACAGTATTGAATGTGAATTTGACAGAATTGGAAGTTAGTGCGAGAGTCACGTTATAATTATAACATTAATGGTATAATATAAAAAGAATAATTTTTAAAGGTATAAATTAAAATCTGTTTAAAAAATGTGGACGTCACATGCACCAATAGAAAGCTACAACGTAACTGAGTGAAATTCCTTACCAAACAAAGAAAGAAGAAGCCATACGTAATTGGGTTTGAATAGAAATTTTTTTATTCGAATCCAATCGATTCGATGAATTTTATATTCATAATTTAGATTTAAATTCGATAAGAATAAGATATTTGATTCGAAAATCCTGTTTGATACGAATAAATGTTTTTAATTATATTTCAACAAATTGCATCTAATTTTTAATATAATTTTTTTTAAAAATTATTTAATTCAGTGTATATTATATACACGAGTTGCTGTAAGTGAATAATTTTAAAATTATAATTTGAGGTTTTTTTGGGTAGGTTATGGATGATAAAAAATATTTAAATCATGTTAAATAAAAAGAAAACTTTGTTGTTATTACTCAGCCGTCTTGAGTTTAAATTTTAACAATCTATTAGAGTTTGATTATAAGAAATTTATCTCTCATGAATATTATAGTTCTAACGTAGATGATTTGCTTCTGACCGAGCCGAAAAAGAAATTAATTGAGATGCTCGTAAATTCACCAAAACACTCCGACCGTTAAATAAAAAAAAAAGAAAAAAAGTTTGCATGTATGCATGTTTACTTACAAAAGGGAGCCAGCCATACACTGTGATACCAATAAGTAGCCAGTGAAAGTACGAAAGACAAAGCGAGACAGAGAGAGATTAAAATAAAGACTAAATAAATGTATTAAAGGATAAGTTCGAGAGAGTAATTAATGTAAGATTGAACACCTTGAAAAAATAAAAAAAAAAGAATTAAATATATCTAACCCATGAAATAGGTCAGCTAATTTCTTTTTATTCAATAATCAGTACCATCTAAAGAACTTACGTTTGATGCACGACTAAAAGCCATATGTGCAAAAGCAACCGCATCGAACCCAAGAAAAAACTAAAACTCTCGAAATATGCAGAGAGAGTAACTGGTTTGTCCTATATTGTTTGGAGCAGTTACTACTTCGAGACTTTGATGTCTTATTTGGTTCTTACGTGACGGCTCTTGATTCAGTTTTTCACGCATTCATCTAACGAAATTTTTGTTGGATAACATGGTTTTAAACAAATTTATTTAAGTAATTTAAGGCTTAAATAAAAATTGAATTCACACCTCGTAATTAGTGGGACCAAGTTTATTAAACGCATTCTTTTCTATAAGGAGATTAACGTGGTATATTTATTTGTCAAAAATCATGAAGATTTGAATGAGAAATTATATCTTAAAGCGACTTATTTGAAGTGATAAAATAAATTAAGATTGATGTAGTAAAATAATGTTTGTTCTACATTGGAAAAAGGCTAATACTTTGATGAATTAATATACTCTTAATTAATTTTTTGGATTTGGATCCCAAGACGTACCACACTTTTGTGAGTGCAGCAAACGCCTACAATTATTACGCACGCACGCGCCGCTTGCTGGTCACGACCGGATTGAACTTGGGACAAAAAATTATAATATTTTTGAACAAAATTTATTTGGGGTGATGCAGGTCATAAGTCAAATCAATCGGGTCAAACCGCCGATCGAAATTAATAAAAAAAATCAACTGAAATTTAAAATCTAAATCAAGTTTTAAAAGTTATTCTCATTATTTTTTAACTTGACGCCAAAAAAGGGTTTGGATTCACTCCAGAGAGCCTGTTCATTCTAAGAAATATATATTGTCTGTTCAGATTAAAGAGTGTGTCTCTTTAATTTAAACAGTGGTAACTTTATGCCTTTTCAAGTAATCTGAACAGACTTCAATGGTTTATAAATAGACTGTCCCTTTGTCATTTCATTCCATATCATTCTGGATTCCAATTTTAAAATTCTTCTCTTTCTCTCTCGGCATATTGTTGTGTTCTTCATTTGGTTTGGTTCAAGTATAAACATAAGTTGTGTTTGCTGGAATCTTGAAAATTGGAGTGTTGCTTCTTCAAGAAGAAAAAATTGTTCTATCTTGAGAGACAGTTGCTCATTCACCTTGAGCACCGAGAGGAAACAAATCTATCTTAAGGAGATTGTGGTTCACAAGGCTCAAATTTAAGTTCTGGTTTGTTCCTATTTATTATTCGTGTTGATCTGCGTCCCTGTTTTGATTATAGTCTGCCTAAATTAGTGCATTATTTAGGATTTATACAGTTTAATATAATCTAATTATATACACATTTTGTATAACAATTTTTCCATTGACAGACTTTGGAAATAGAAAAATACTACACAATTTAAATTAAACAGAAAAAATTATAATTTAAATGCATATCATTCTTTAGATGAGTGAGTTTCATCAGCATTTTTAGTGGAACCCACTCATGAGTGGGTTCCGTCAACTTTGTCAATAGAACTCACTGATCTAATGAATGATATGCATTTGAGTTATAATTTTTTGAATTTTCTTTGAGTTCTTTAGCATTACTCTTGCAAATAATGGAAGTTGGAATTCAACCCAATTTATATGCTCCTAGAATTAAAATCACCATATTGTTACCTCCAATGAGCCAAGAACACCTGATCCAACACGTAGTTGTCATATGCAACCGAAAAGAAGAGTATGGTGTCAATCGTGACAGGTTAGGTAGGTTCATATGGAGTCTAATTGGGTTCGTGTGTGATGGGATAAAAAACCGACAAGTGTGAGATTGAAGAGCTAAAGAATGCCTCTACTTAGTGAAACATTTAAAATAAAAATTCTATATTCTGAGCACAAGCAAGAAGGGAACCAAAATTCTATTACATTCATAAAAAATTTATTATCCAGAGTTAAATAGTTATACAGAATCTATCAAAATTACTTTTCATATAATTAGTTTGGGTCATAGAATCCAAAGATATCAGTTCCTACTATATTAAAAAAAATTAGTTTATGCCTTTTATTTTCACGTTATGATGTCATGTGTGAATCAACATATTATGTTTGAAATAAGCCACATTCATAATCTAGTTTTACGAAAACAATCACCTTTTTTTTTTAACTTCCTTTGTTATTAAACTCGTCCGACCAAATATCTTCGATAATAAAACTATCACTCATCCATGGGTTTCATCTCCATTTGGCTATTAAATATCATTTCATTGACCTTTTAAAATGTACTAAAGAGAAAGAGGGGCTAGTCCCTTCTCAGCAGGACTGATAATTAGGTTTAGCATTGCGAATTTATCAAGTTTATATTTTTAAGTAAGTCTAAAAAATTATTTAAATTTGGATTGTTTAAAAAAAAAATCGAGGCCTAGCTAAGCCCAAAATGACTCGAACCTGAGCTGAGCTCAAGTAATTTGATTATTTTACATATAAATAAGCCGAACATTGTGAGTTCGAAGTAAGTCTTTTAAGATCGTTTTTTCTAAATAAGTTTAAAAAATTATTCGTCGAGTCAAGTCCTTTATGAGCGGAGCCCAAGTATCTTGGCTTGATTATCAGCATTACTCCTCAATTCCACCCATGAGCACAAGTAAAATGGGAAAAATAAATAAATAACTAGACCAAAATATTATGGGCTATTACCAAATAAATTTCCGAAGGATAGTGGTACCTTTTCCACTTTTAGTATGTATTTTATAATTCTAACTTATTTGATAATTAGTTATT